GTGTTTTCTCAAGCAAATTAACTGGCAATCAACTTGAAATATTATTCTCAATGATTTTGATCAAGTGATTTAGTGTCACTATGAAAACAATTAACAGTAAATTTGATCGTCCAATTACTTTGGTCAATTTCATTTTTAGTATCTTTTTTCACTCTCCAACCATAACCTGTTCATCCTAACATGAATATTTTATGGAAACAGTTACATTAAAGTGACAGAAAATCAAAGGCATTAAGCAGTTAACGATGGCGAAAAATTCTGGTTATTTCACATGAATAATCCAACGTTATCTATGAACATGAAAATGTCATCTTTATTGATCACGATCATGTTGTAACCAGTACAGAAATGATTATAAGTTAGACATCATCTCTGGTGAGGATTGAACTTTACCTTCAATATCAGATAATTAATATTAATCTAACCTCTGGTCATATATTCTGATGATGATGTTACATTTAACTCATGAATGATTATGATTCTGGGTGAATATTATTATCGCTTCCGATATAAATAAAACAATATTAATTTCACACATGGATATTATCACGGAGAATCATCAATTTTCAATATTAGATCAATGATACAGAATACAAACCAAAAGTATCTTAATTGTTCAGGAAATGAATCAACAATAAGAATTGGCTCAACAATTGATCTGTGAATTTATTGCTAATTAAATGTTATCTTGCAATCGAATAGCGGAAACACCAAATTACAAGATTCATCTCGATTCTGAGGTTAATTCATATTTGTGCAAAGCTCATCATCATGAAGACATCATCAAGATATTTAATGATAAAAATAACGATAAGTGAAAGATGAAGCTTCCAGTTTCCATGATAAAATTGATGGTGATGAAGATGAAGATGATGATGATTGAAATGGAAATAATATAAAACCATATTGATTCCGATTGACTGGACATGACGATAACTGTTATATTAACTTTGTTACTTTCTATTTTATTCTGTTCAGGGAATTCAGAGTTGAGATAAATATTGAGAGATAATCGACCATTGAAACTGATAAAATAACTATCATATTAAAAGAGGGAAGAGAAAACAATTTTCGATGAACTAAACTCAAACTAGAGAATGGAACATATTTCAAAGCTATTCTATTATCGAGGAACATGATTCCACCGAGATGAAGGTAATTATCTCAATGTTATTTATCTGAATCAATGGGGTAACATAAATATCTTTATGTATATACAAAGGTTAAGAATATCATCTTCATCTTCTTTCATCTTCATTACTGAAACTTTTTCTCTTTTTTTTCTCTCCCTTTTACCTTTTTCTTTTTTTCTTAAAAAATAAAGTTCGATTCTTTATTTTTTTTCTACTTCCTTATCCTGAACTTTTTACTTTCTCAGTTGAATAGGAAATTTCATCCATTCATCGAAGAGAAATTTTGTCAAACAAATAAAGGAAGAGAAAAAGTTGTGATGAGAAAAACGGTACCAAATTGTGATTGCAACAATTGAAATTTCTTCTTCTTCATGAGATTCACCAGAATCATCATTCTCATGAGAATCAGATAAAAGTTCTGTAAGCCTCAAGATCTGTGGCTGTTAAAGTAACATGAATTTATATATTCAATCTGTCAAGGTGAATGTTGGATCTCATTTCCTGATAACATTTTTATTTTATCATTGATGTTGTTTCCGTTCAAGTTATATATTTTGGGTTAAATTAACGGATCAATAAAGTTAATTGAGTTAATAATATGAATTAATGTTGATAAGTTAGTGAAAGTATTAATGATGAAGAGGGAAAATGTTTCTACAACTTTAATTACCATGAAAATGAGCAGAAAAATTCAACCAAACAATTTTAAAGTTGATGATGAACCACAGGTAGTGGAAATTTGATCATGGTGATAAAGGGAAAATGATATTATTTATCCATTGTTCGTTATATTAAATATAGAATGAGAATTTTCATCAGAATGATAATCATGATAAGCTGTTGACTTACAAGCAAAGAATCAAAAAAAAAAGTCAACTTGGAGTTAATTTAATGTGAATAAACTTAAATGCTAAACTGTCAAGAGGTAAATTGAACCCATGAACCCTAATGCTTAGCACTAGCAGATAATCAGACCTAAATAATGAGCTGGATAGAGATGATGATGATATTGTGATGATATTTTTTCCCTCTCTTCAGTTTTGGTGAGTTTTTTTTTCAAACGAAACGAAATGAATTGAATCTCATGAAAAACCCTGAAGCTGTTTATCTTTCCATCCAAATGTGAACCTTTGAGTTTCTCATGTTTGTTTTTGGTTGAACAGAGGAAGATGACGATGAAGATGTTGATTCACTTTCTGCATCAACATCACCATCTTAGAGACACGAAAATACATAGAAAATGAATCTGTCAAACACACAGAACAATAAATAAGCTTAAGGTGAAAACAGATCTCAAATTTCATAATAATAATTTATTAATATTTACATAAGAAGAAACTTATTTTATTCTCTCTTTATCTCTATTTAGACAGTTACAAAAGAAGTAGAGAAAAGAAAAGTTCTAATCAGCTCGAACTTAGAATCTAAACAATAGAGTAACAACAAGTAAAAATATCATCGATTGTTAATGAATATAAAGGTTACATGATATTTTCTTATATTATTCATGTGAAATTCTGTCATTAAGATGTTTGGCTTAGAGGTGAATTCATGATCACCATTGAATCATATTTATTCATCATTTCATGAATGATGAATCTTTTTTCCTTTATCCATTACCTTTTGTTACCTTAGATTATAAACTATTGAAAAGATTTGATGGTGTAGCGATTTGTTGATTGTTAGGACAAATATCACAAATACGATGTTAGTATTTACATAGTAAAAGATACATTGAGATATGTGAGATGCTAATTTATTAGGGTTACCGATATTTACCATTGATTAACAATAGGAAGAGTAATAATCTGAATCAAGTTTTTCTCTAATTACTGTATATCTGCTTGATTATATTGTGACAAATTGTTCCAGTTAATTGTAATCCCATTGATTATTAGATTTTATCACTAAGATTTATGATATTAAATGGTTATAGTTCATCTTTAATATAATTTTACGTTGCTTCTCAACTCGAGAAGCAGTGGTGTTAAATCGTTGGGAATTCTGTCACTGCTTCTCATTTGAGAAGCAATAGTATTTAATTAACGGAATTTGTTAAAACTCATTAAGTTTATATACCTTCAAAGAGACAAAATCAATATTTTAATCATTAAACTTTTCTATTTAATAATTTCAAGTTACATTTCTATTCCTAAATTCCTTTATTCATCAGCTATATTGATGTTAAGAAGGAAGAAAAATTTGCCATGTCAAAAGTGATTCCATTTTAATCCTGTTCATGATTTAGTTGATTGTAAACTTGAACATAATTTACTTTTTATCAGCATAATTATCATTCTATTACCTTTCAGTGAGATGATAATGAAGATGCTGAAAATTAAGATGATAAATATCATCTTAATCATGAATATTCATAATATACTTTAGGTAATGAGAATTTTTTTCTTCTCTGGAAAAAAATGATTCGAGTAGATCATATTGTTACAGGTAAGTTCGATGTTAGAACTTTTCTTTCTCTTTCTTTCTCTTTTTTTCGTCAACTTGACAAAAGTATTAACTTAGTAAGAAGATAAAATAAGTTATAAGATGATGATGAATTTATGAAGACATAAAAATGAAGATGAAAAAAGAAAAAGTTGAGTTCAGGTAAACGAAGAAGATTAGATGTATTTACATTCTTATTCTTTTATCATTGAAATTCGGGTTCATGGTGATATTTTTTATCCCTTCGAATTCATGTTATACAAACAAACGTGAAGTTTTCATTATTATTCTTGTTATATTCTAGATTCAATTGAAAAGATAGGATATTATTCATCATTGGAGCATTGGTTTTAGAATCAGAGTTATCAAAACTCTCACAGAATCAAATCAAAATAATCACCAAAAATTGATTTATAACATAATCATGGCGAAGATTCAGTTTCAAAGCTATCAACTGATGGTTGAAGTTGAAATAACTGTCATCATGAATTCAGTTTCAATTTTAATTATTATCGTTTGTGTGTTTCTTTGGTTCAAGTCAATTAAATTCTGATCATCTAATTTAATAATACCTCAATGTTTACTCAAATTAGAATGATAAAAAATATTATAATCAGAATGATGAGGAAATTGTTGACAAAACTGATTCGTGGGATGAACGTTTATTGTTATCATGATAACAAGGTTAATATTAATAGTAAATGATAACATTTCAATATTTAATATATTCTGATTCTCTGGTGAATTGTTACTGTTAACATTATTTGCTACTCCATGAAAATTTAATAATAATCATCATGATAATTTAAATAAAGAGAATGATTGAAATTCAGAATTTATGGGAAATCATGATGAGGGAATTTTCTGCCTTGAATCCATGAAAGATGAAAAACTTTAAATTGTTGATCGAAAATTTTTCTTACCTGTTGATGGAAAAGTTTATCAATTGATTAAGAGTTAAATTGTTTATCAGTAATTCAATTATTGGAAGATGATTATGATTGCGATACACAGAATCTAATTAAAGTTGAATTTACTGATTTAACACTTGAGAATGAAACTATTAGGGAACAATTTAAATCAAATTAGAACAATAGTTTTCCAATTTTCAACTCGATTCGATTTTCACTCAACTTGTAAACTGTTGAGATTCGATGGTAAATGTTGATTGAGATGATTTGATGATAAGTTTAGTCGAATGATGATAAAAATGATTCACTGAAAGAAAAGTTGAGAAAAAGTGGAAAGAAGAGTAAAAAGAAAACTCCAAGTGTCTCTTTCGAGTTCTTACTCATCTCATTCTGATTCTGTCTGAATCATAAATCGACATGATCAACATCCTAATGTTACCATCGTTACAAGCTCTCAATGAGTTGGCGCGATATTATTTTTATTTGATAATAGTTACTCAGTTCTCTTAAAGTTTAGTCTTTATTTCAATTTAACATCTTTGGTAACATAGTAAACATTTTCTTTAATCTATTCCATGGCGAAGTGATCAACGTTAGATCTCCATTGGAGTTATGGATTTGCAGTTTCATGAGTGATTCCAAGATGATCAGATTGTATGTTCTTCACTAGATAACGACGACGACGCCAATGATGATGATGATGGAAATGAATACCGTGATTTGAATGGTGACTGTGGTGGTCAAGAACAGCGATTAGCACTGGAATGAGAACTTTATCCGTAAAAGTTTTTAAGTTTTCATGGTTGAAATAATGTTTTCTATCAACGAAAAACTTTCTCACTTTCCTGAAGTAACGAGTCAAAGCACCTTTATAATATGTCAGGTTTCTATGGCCACGATAGTTGTTAATTATTGTGATATTGTTGGAATAATTGTGATAATGGGTCGATGGCTTTTCATTCAAAAGTAAGAAAATGGAGAAAACAAAAGTGTAAATAAGAGCAAATCAGACAATCAAAATCCGAAAAGAAAAATTTAAATTAAAAAGCATTTACCTGTACGTTTGATTGACCATTGCTACGATGATCATTGTTTACTCCTGGGTGATTGTTGATCGGTGGTTGTAACTGTTGAGGTGGTTGCAAGGCTTGAGGATGATTGAATACTGGTGCTACGAGGTTGTAGTTGTTGGTGTTATATTGTGTATGCTGAGTTGGATAAGGATATTGAGGATATTGCTGAGGATAAAGTTGTTGATTCCCTGTATCTGAATAGCGAGGAGGCTCTGATGGCTGTACCTGAGATGGTTGTGGTTGCCAGTTTTCAGAAGTTTGGCTTGATGATTTTAGGTACACGAAAGGAGCTGGATGATTATCAACCGAAAAACATTCGGTAATTACGAGGGTAATGATTAAAATCGAAAAAGTATAGAGTATTTGTGACATTTTCATCTTTCAATTGTAGATCTTTGAAGTCGATGAACAGAAATAAACTAAGAAAAAAGTTTCGAATGAAAAGAAAATCTTCAAATAGATGAATTTCCATGGAAACAGAAGATTAATCATAATCTCCTTTTCTTCTAATTCCTTAATCATTGTTTTGATGCGAAAACACCTAAAGCAATGAAGATGATTTTCTTTATCAACTGAAACTTAGAAATTAATTGTGGAAGTGCCTCCATCTTAGTTTATGCGACAATTAATCATTCGAAGAGGTGACACAATTTTCATACTTAAGATTTAACAAGTTTAAATTTCGAAAATGATTCAATTAGTTAATTTAATGGGAAAATTTTCATAAATAATAATTTACATATAATGGAATAGAAAGAAAAAGACTTATTTAATGACTCTAAATAGAGAGAATTACAGCCAAGTTACAATGATTTGAGAAAAGAAAAAGTTCAGGACAAGTTAATTAACAGAGAAATGTGATGAATAAGCTTGTTGATCGCTTTTACCTTCATCAGAGATTTGAGATGAATCTCCATTTGTTTCGTCCTTATTATTATGGATTGTGATTGTTGTTGTTGTAGTTGTAGTGGTGATTGAGGACGATGATGATGACGATAAGGTGGTTGTTGTTGATGATGAAGTAGATGAAGATGATGATGGAGATGGAGATGATTTCGTATGTACAGATGATGATTTTTCTAAAGAAATCAGGTGCGGATGAGGTAAAGTACTATCATCGTGAAGAGACACTTCATAAATAACATCAGCGATCACTGAAGCGACTCCTTGATCGAGAATTTGAGAGAAAACAAGTGATAAAAGTCTTTGTTGATGGACTAATATCATCAGTCAGCCTTAATACTAATTTTGATGTGATGGATGTTGAGGGTGCTGAGGATGTAGAGGATGTTGCGAGTGTTGCTGAGTATATTGACCATGATGTGATTGATGATAAGGATAAGGAGGATACTGATAATGTTGAGCACCAGGATAACCAGAACCGGGATCAGGCTGTGGTTGCGGAGGATAATGAGAGCCTATTGCTGGATTTCCTGGCTGAGGATAATTGTTATCTCTACCTTGCATCATTTTCCTATTCTGATGAGGAGATTGTTGGCGAGGTGGTTGAGACATTTGCTGTTGAATTCCAGGAGGTAAATGACCACCCAAATGCCCATAATTGCTCGGTGGCTGTTGAGGTGGTTGCTGAGGTGGTTGTCCAGGATGATGATTGGGACCATAATCATTAATGGCTCCTTGATGTGGATAATTTTGATTCTCAGGGTAACCTTGTCCAGGCGGTGGTTGTCGATGACCTGGATATGGTCCCTCAAACTGAACCGGTGTGGTGGATTGGGGATAACTACCTTGCGAATTAGAATCAGCTGAACCAGGAAATAACTGATTATGAACCTTCGAACGAACCCAAATCCTTCCATGTCGATTTAAAACAACGAGTTCGTCCATCCACTCCTCCACAATTTGTTTTGCGGTTTTTAAATATAACTCTTTCGTGTAATCTTCGAGTTCGGAATCATATTCATCATCTGGACCACCTGATTCCAGATTCCCGTCAGTCATATTTGGATACATTCCCGGGTGAGATTGTGGATAACCGGGTGGATAGCTGTTACCTATGGGCGATGGCCCAGAAGGATAGGGTGATGAAGGTGGCTCCATGGAGCTGAGAGTCGGTGGGAAACCACTTTGCGAATTTCTATCACTATGACCTGGTGAAAACTGTAATCGATTATCAGTTTCGTTTTGATTTGATTTGATTGATAAATGTACAAATCGATCTAGTGGCAGACATTCAATTACAACAATCAACAAGATAATTAAAACAAATTGCAGAAGTTTTAACATGTTTGTAGTCGTGTAAAAATTTGATTATAAAGAATAGAATCAAAAAACCAAAAAGTTTCGGAAAGAAATACAAAATTAACCTGTTGAACTGACACTGAAAACTAAACTGAGAAAAGTTTTGAATGAAAACCAAAAGTTGATAAACTTATTCTTATTTTTATTTCTTAGCGAAAAGTTTATCTTAAATCTTCCTTTAACCAGTTTATTGTTTAAGATGTTTCACAAATTAAACAATAAGATAAATTGTTTAATTGATAAACTGTTTCAACTTAATTACCCATAGATTCAAAGAAAGAATCTGAATTACTCAGTATGCAAAAACACCTAAAGCAATGAAGATGATTTTCTTTATCAACTGAAACTTAGAAATTAATTGTGGAAGTGCCTCCATCTTAGTTTATGCGACAATTAATCATTCGAAGAGGTGACACAATTTTCATTCTTAAGATTTGAGAAATTTAAATTTCGAAAATGATTCAATTAGTTAATTTAATGGGAAAATTTTCATAAATAATAATTTACATATAATGGAATAGAAAGAAAAAGAGAAATATTTAGAAGGAATAAATTATTACAATTGTTTTCTATTTAGTGACTCTGAATAGAGAGAATTACAGCCAAGTTACAATGATTTGAGAAAAGAAAAAAAGTTCAGGACAAGTTAATTAACAGAGAAATGTAATTGTGACCAATAGATTTCCGTTGCATCTTTGATTATTGGAATTTGTGTCTTCTTTATCTGCTTTTTCCAGCTCATTATCCGGATTATCACAAGGCTTGATTGTTCCTCCAATTTTGGAACATGTTGATAAAGGGTATGAGAATTGTGATGAATCAGCTTGTTGATCGCTTTTACCTTCATCAGAGATTTGAGATGAATCTCCATTTGTTTCGTCCTTATTATTATGGATTGTGATTGTTGTTGTTGTTCCTGATGTTGTCGTTGTAGTTGTAGTGGTGATTGAGGACGATGATGATGACGATAAGGTGGTTGTTGTTGATGATGAAGTAGATGAAGATGATGATGGAGATGGAGATGATTTCGTATGTACAGATGATGATTTTTCTAAAGAAATCAGGTGCGGATGAGGTAAAGTACTATCATCGTGAAGAGACACTTCATAAATAACATCAGCGATCACTGAAGCGACTCCTTGATCGAGAATTTGAGAGAAAACAAGTGATAAAAGTCTTTGTTGATGGACTAATATCATCGATCTATTCTCAGGTATCCTGGCGAAATGTCGCAAACAAATGGCAGCTCTTCGAACCATATCGAGTGTCGTCCCCATCAACTCTGGATTATCACGTAAAGCATTTAATCCTTGTGTATTGGCTACTTGTAATGCTGATTGTTCTGACTGTTCAATGAACCCAATTAACTGAGGAATCGCATAACCAGTCAAAGCTATTGCACGGGCTATACTAGAATCAGCGGCAGCGAAATTGGTTAATAACACAAGAGCAAATTCACGTAAAGTTTGATCTTCATTTCGATTCAACATCTTTGCTAACATGGTAAACATTTTCTCTAATCTGCTCCAAGGTGGAGTGGCCAACATTAGATCCACATTGGAGTCGATGATGGACAATTTCATGAGTGATTCCAAGGCGAGTCTCTTCGGGGTGAATGATTGAACTGTGGTGGTCGGAAGATGATCTTGAGCATAGGAAGAAGGACAAACGGTCCAATGTAATAAACCATCTAAAATATTTAAACTAATTTCTTCCGAATGAGGGTCAAGATCGAGTTGACATGAAATGTTTGCTAAAGTCACAAGAGTGTTTTCTCTTAAAAGATGAATTGATTCCGACCACCAGTTAGATGATCCAATTGTATCTTCCTCACTAGATGATGATGACGATGATGATGATGATGATGTTTGGGGTATTGATGGTGTGGAATTGCTGCTTGTATCATTGGTAAAGTTGCTCTTCTTAACAGCATGAGTGTGTTTCAATGTTAAGAGTCGTCCAAGAACAACAAGTAGTCCTGGATGTTTGGACATTTCGATATCGTTACCAGGCACAAAAGATAAATTTCTTATTAAGGTGGAAAGACACAGGCATCTTTGTGAGATTGAATCATAATAATCTTGAATTGTTGCAAGAGGAGAATCATCTTCATCCTCAGGCTCATCTTCAAGATCATCGAAATCAACTTTCACTTCTAATTTGATGTTTTTTGGATGATCATTGTGAATAAATGGTTTTTTAGATGAACTTAATTTAGAGTCACAATTACCATTAACTAAAGATTGATTGGAAGACACATCATCTTTGTTATTCATAATACTATTATTCACAATGTTGTTTTTTATATTTGAGTTTGTTGTTGTTGTGGTTGTGGTGTTATTGGTAATTGAAGTGGTTGATGTAACAGAAAATGATGAATCTTGTTTCTTTCTCGACTTTTTTGACTTATTTTCTTTTGTTTTGATAACTTTAACAAGTTTGAGATACTTTTCCTTTGGTTCGAAGTGTGTGATTATATGGTCAGTGGCTTCTCCATATCCCTTTGACCAATGATCTCTACCGGTTTTGAATCCATTTTTAAATGGATCCCATTTCTTTTCATAATCAGTAACAAATAGATGAGCCTCAGCATTTTCCATTCTCACAGATTTTCCGCTGCGAGAAGTAAAAGTTAAATCTAAAGATGATTTCAACATTTTCAGTTGTTGATCCATTTTCGGAATGTTGACATTAATCGCCCGATCCAATTTCCTGGTCATTTCTTTCTTGCCACTGACACTTTTTCTCATTATATTTACATCCGTCATTCCCTCGAATTCACCAGTTACACAATCATCATCACTATTCTCATCATTTGCATCATCACCATTTTCATTATCCTGAGAAAGCTCATCGAAATCAGATCCAATCTGATACCATTTTCGACTTTTTTTGATACCATTTTGTAAAGGTGTTTCTATGTGACCACTGACTTCGGTGTCCTTGAAAAGTCCTTCGAACATGTCGTTGAGACACTTTTTGTAATGTTCTAATAAAGTTTCTAGTAATCCAGGCAAATGTTGAAGTCCAAAGTAAAGGTAACTATTATCATCGGCAACTAAAACTGAGAGAGTGTCTATTGCCCAAGTACTTTCTGCAAGTAAACCCGATTTAAGACTCATTAACAATTTCCAGGCTTCAGTAGGACACAAATCTTTGCAATTCAATTTGCGTCTTTTGAATAGATTTGGTGTAGTGGCTTCAACACTTCCCACAGGGAAAACTAACTCTCTTTTCATCATCATTTGACTATACGGCATTGAAGGATGATGAGGACCATGAGGGCCATGAGGATGTTGAGGGTGTTGAGGATGATGTCCTGGGTGCACAGAGTGGCCTGGATGACCTGGATGTGGTGGTAAGTGAGAATGTGGATGTGGATGTGGATGTTGAAGAGAGTGCGGATGTTGGTGTTGGTGTGGTAGAGCTTGTAGATGAGCTTGAGGATGAGGATGAGGTGATCTTGGTGCTCCCAAATGTGGACTCGGTGTGGGTGATGACGGAAGACTCGGTGATGAACATAAAAGTCGAGTTAAATGTTGTGATGGAGCTTTAGGTGGCATTGGTGGTCCACCAGGCATTTGATACATTCGATTTTGCATTTGATTCATTTTATTCATCGGATGATCAGGTGGATAAGAGTAGCCAGGTTGAGTAGAAGGTGGATAATTATGATTCATTCCGGGTGGTGGTTGATGTTGATGTTGTTGCTGATGCTGTTGTTGTGATGGTGGTGGTGGTGGAACAGGAGATTGACCTGGTGGTGGTGGATATCGATTCATGGGCCAACCACCTGCTGCATTGTTGACCATTGGAACTGATGGTCCAAGTTCAGGTCTTGCTGAATTCGGATGGAGAGATTGAGGTGGAGGTGGCAAAGATCCTGGATCAGTTCGAGATTGATGGTCCCATGATGTTGTCATATTAGGTGGCTGAGGAGGAGGAGGAGCCCCTGGACTACCTCTAAAAACGGGATCACGATTCCACATTTGATGACCATGATTTGGTCCATTGCCACCTTGAGGGTAATTCGGAGCCATTGGCCTACCAGGATAAGGTCCATATTGACCAGGATGTTGTGATTTATGATCAGGTTTCATGAAATCAGGATGTCTTTTAAGATGCGGTGGATGTTGAGGAGCCGGTCCTGATTCTTGACCACTTGTTGGAGGAGCATTTGTGCCATAGAAATTGTTTTCTCGCGGTTCAATAAATCGCGAAGGTCCATTAGGAGATGATCTATTTGCAGGATAAACCGTTGTATCGTAATTCGATCCCTGAAAGAAAAAACAGAAAAATAAATTAATTAAAAAGAAAAGAAAAGAAAAGAAACGAAAAGAAGAAAACGAAAAAAAGTTTATAAAAAAAAGAAAAACCTACTTGTTGATTAGGTTGATTATACTTGGCAGCTAAAAGTCGCTGTGCAAGTGGACTATTATGGGTTGACGTCTTTCGTGCAAAAATGAAAGAAAATGGAAGAAAATAAAAAATAAAAATATAATAAAATCAAATCAAAAGTGAAAACAATCAACAAAAATCACTCACCTGTACATTTGATGGACCATTGCTGCGATAATTGTCATTCATTCCTGGGTAATTGGGTTGATTAGCTGAGCCATATGATCCAGAAATTGGTGGTCTCTGTGGGTAATTGTTGATCGGTGGTTGCAAGGCTTGAGAATGAGGATGAGGATGAGGATAACGCTGATTAGTCTCAATACTCGGTGGATGAGGAGGCTGAGACTGATGTGGAAGATGAGATGGATGCGAAGGATGCGAAGGATGCGGGGGATGCGAGGGATGAGAAGATGGATGATTTTGTGATGAATTGGATGAATTAGATGAATCTTGATTTTCTTTGCTATTGCCACTATCAGATCCTCTGGAAGAAGCACCAGGACTCGCTGCTCCTGTGCTATTTGGTCTACTATTAGGACGACTATGGGATCCTGAATTCTCGGTGGTCGATTCAGAGGATGGACCATTTTTACCTTGTTGTTGCTGCTGTTGTGGTTGTTGATGTGGATGAGGATGACGAAGATGTTGATGATGAGGTGGTTGTTGTTGCTCATGTTGACCATAGTAGCCTCCTGGACCAGTTCGATTAGGACCTTCAAAGTTTGTTGGTTGTTGTTGTTGCTGCTGGTGACCTGAAGGATGACGACGATGACCACTTGACGTAGATGGTTGCATCTCAGACGAATATGAGTCTGAATTCTCACCAGATCGATTTGAGTTCCCTGCAGGTGATGGTGATTGTGGATTTGGTGCATGTGAAGCTTGAGGATGATAAGGTGAAGAATTTGATTTTGAAGGAGGTCCAGTAGAGTGTGGATTGGGTGGTAAATAGTTGGAACCTTGTTGATGAAGTAACGGTAAATGTTGTGGATGAGTTTGTTGATGGTGGGAATGTGGTAAATGTTGATGTTGTGCATGTTGTTGGTGTGATGGATGTTGAGGGTGCTGAGGATGTGGAGGATGTTGCAAGTGTTGATGATGCTGCGGGTGCTGTTGAGGATATTGACCATGAGGTGGTTGATGGTAAGGATAAGGAGGATACTGATAATGTTGAGCACCTGGATAACCTGGACCGGGGCCAGGGCCGGGGCCTGAACCAGGAGCAGGACCTGATCCTGGGTGTGGTGGCGGAGGATAATGAGAGCCTATTGCTGGATTTCCTGGCTGAGGATAATTGTTATCACCACTTTTCATCATTTTCCTATTCTGATGAGGAGATTGTTGGCGAGGTGGTTGAGACATTTGCTGTTGAATTCCAGGAGGTAAATGACCACCCAAATGCCCATAATTGCTCGGTGGCTGTTGAGGTGGTTGCTGAGGTGGTTGTCCAGGATGATGATTGGGACCATAATCATTAATGGCTCCTTGATGTGGATAATTTTGATTCTCAGGGTAACCTTGTCCAGGCGGTGGTTGTCGATGACCTGGATATGGTCCCTCAAACTGAACCGGTGTGGTGGATTGGGGATAACTACCTTGCGAGTTTGAGTCAGCTGAACCAGGAGAGGGAACAGATGCTCCTCCTTTTTTCCTACCAGGATGAGGTGAATGTTGTCTAGGTGCTGGATGAGGAGGTGGTAGAAGGTGGTTGACCGTGATGACTGGCTGGATGTCCCGGTGGATAACCAGAATGATGTCCAGCATATGGACCACCTGTTTCTGGATATGATTCTGGATTCATACCCATCATATTTGGATACATTCCCGGGTGAGATTGTGGATAACCGGGTGGATAGTTGTTACCTATGGGCGATGGCCCAGAAGGATAGGGTGATGAAGGTGGTTCCATGGAGCCGGGAGTCGGTGGGAAACCACTTTGCGAATTGCTATCACTATGACCTGGTGACATGGCATCTTTAGATTTCTTTGATTTGCTTTCCACTTGTGGAATTAAAGTCGTATGGTCAATGCCGCCTCGATCAAATTTGCACTCAAAGGGCAAAAGGTGCTTCATATATTGTTTCCTAATCGCATAGGCAGCACTTGGATTGACCATACAGTTACATATAGTGGCCACTTCTTTCCATCCTTTATTCTTGGAAACCTCTTGGAAACCACCTTTATCTTTAACAACATTATATAATTGAAACAGATCAAGTGGTTGTTTACTAATCGTTGGCGATGAGGTCATGGAAACACCACGGGATTCATTGAATGCGGCCAACCGCTTCATAAAAGAATCTCTCTCAGAATCTTCTCCCATGTTGTCAAACTTCATTGACTATTGACAATCCAATTATAAAACTGTTATAAATAAGAAGAAAGAGAAAAGAAAATACAAAAAGAAAATAAAATAAATAAACAATACAAGAGATTAAACATCATCATAATATATGTTAAAGTGAATAAGAGGAAAAACAGACAAGAAAGGAGAGGCAAAAAAAGAAAAAAAGAAAGACAAGTATAAGAGAGAGAGAGAAAGAGAGAAAGAGAAAGAGAAAAAAAGACACACACACAAAGAGAGATGGAGACTTGGAGAAAATTGTATTTCCACTAATCTGATTCCATATTTAAACGACTGAAATGATAACATGAACAAGCGAATAGACTAAAGAGAACGTAGAGATGAAAAAAGTGGAAAATGTCGAAGAAAAAAATAAAAAGAGATAAACAGCTAAATTAGAAGAAAAAGAAGAAAAAATGATTAAGAAAATCAATTGATATAACATAACAAGATGGCGAAAAATATAAGGGAAGCTGTTTGAGTGTAAGCGAAAAAAGCAAAGAGAAAGGAAGAGAGAGAAGAGAAAAAAAGCAAAATGTTGGAAAAGAAGAAAAATAATCACAATTGAAATGAACTTACTTTTATTCTCACAAAGGAGATTAATTAAAAATTTGTCATCCAATTAAACCACTAATTTATTAAATTAAATAATAAACAACTTTTGTCCATTCATTAAACTTGATTAGTTTGTTTTTCTCAAATTAAAAGGAATCTCCAATCAAGAAAAATCCTCTCAGTTGGATGTCAATCATTGGTAAGTTTTCGAATGAACAAAAGATGGAGCCACAACCGAATCGTTTAGAATAAAATATCAGCTACTTTTCGATCTTTCAATCTGATATTCGGATACATTTTCTATTGCCAAGCCTGCAACAGATCCTGGTACTCGATACAAACAGTCAACCCAAAGATCGAAATCCAAGTTTTTAATTTTTTTCTGTTCCATTTGTATAATTAATACGAAGAAGCAACAATCTAATTCAACAATTAACTAATAACTGAATAATTATATTCGAAATTTACTCAGCTATGATTAAGATTAAATTTTCAAACTAAATCAAATTCAAATTTCAAATTCTATGTCACCATTTGTTGTAATCGCAATTTAGATTAACAATTAAATTGAATTTGGTTTGATTAATTGAGTGAAAACAGCTGATCAACTGACATTGACTATCTGTAGTTATTATTTGATTATAATTAAATTGATTGTCACTCATTCATCATAATGTTTACAATGATTGATTAACACTTTTAATATATTTGGACAGTTGATTGTATTACTCAATTTATTAATAGATAATCAATTGATTGTCTCTCTCTCTCTTTAATATAAATTGTGTAACAATTAAATCCCCAGATAAGAAAAAGTTGATTAATCAACAAAAAACTTGAAAGAAATCAACTTGTTACTTTATTAGTTATATGTGATTACGTTAACTAATTTCTTCCAATTGGTTAAAAGTTAGACAACAATTAAAACGAAACCTCTTGATTGCTCTTAATCAAACCACCTTGAATTGAACCTCAAAGGCACTTAGTATGAACTAAACATTACAATTAACTGAATGATACTTGTTAATTGTTAAGATTTTAATATATTGAAACATAATTAATGTTTAATAATAACAAGAAAACGATACAACATTGATCCAATCAATTGATTGTTGCAATTAACTCGCCGTCATCCTGATAATTTTCAGGTCTTTTCCCAAACAATTTACTAATTCGATGTATGTAATTTAAATTGTCGATTATAATTATAATTGAATGAGGAAAATTTCCAATTTGATTAATAATTTTCTTCTTCTTTTAGGTAATAAGAGAAATTATTTTTCCATTTTCGAAAATCAATCACCATTGCATCACACTTTCGAATAATTAATTAGTTCTTACCAAGTTAATTAGTCGCTAATTTAAGTTTCGATTTGAATTTTTCTCTTTCTTTTCCAACCTGTGAACAAAATAATCAGCTAATTATTGATTTTCTCTATCAAGTGATTAGCGAAACTAATTTCAAGTAAAAATCAGACAAGGTTACAGATTGAATTGCTCAAACATTGGTAATCACACAATTAAAGTTGATTAATTAAAGTGTTGACCTAACCTGTTGTTGTTTCAATTGATTGTCATCAATCAGTGATTAATAATAACCTTTCCACTTAGAAGAAGAAAAGATTTTAATAAATTAACCTGATTGCTTGACCTTCGATCAAATGTTAACCTTGCACTCGAAGCCGAATATAAGTTTATGACCGAATTGCTGAAAAAGGAAAGAAAACTTCGTTTTCGAAGGCAAAATGTTCACTAATCTTCTACAGGCCATCTCTCTCTCTCTCTCTCTCACTTCGATGTTATCATAAGCATCTTAATCTCGAAAAACAATCCATTTTTCTTCGTCGAGTTTTTAAATTCGATACTTTTTATCCTGATGATTTTTTGGCTCGAAGGTAAGTGGAAACTCATCATCACCAAGACTCCACCCAAATTTCAGTCTTAATTCAATTTCATCGATTATGAATCAGGATTGTTATCGATTAAGAGAGAGAGAGAGAGAAACAACTCGGGGAGGCGGATCATTCTCTCCCTATTTTCTCTCTCATCAACTCTCCTTCTCTCTCAGGAATAAACAATTCACTTTTTAAACTTCTCCTTCTTGTAATCAAAAACTTCTCACTCATTATCATGTGCTAAAGTCGCAAAAATATACCTACCTGTTGAGAAGAGAGAACATTAGTTGAACATTCGAAGGACATTCGATGTTAAAAAAATTCTTTTTTCTTCTTCTTCCCTGAATAGAAAACTTTTTCCATTTTCTTTGTGCTACCTGTTGATTGAATTTCCATTTCTGAGTTTTCCCCTGAAAGAAATTTAATATAACAATTAACCATAAAAATGTCCAATGCAATGAAAAGTGATGCTTTCAAGAATCTAATTTGTTTTGTGTTGATACTTTACCATTGGACTGTTGGTGCGATTATGGCCTTACTACCTCGATCTTTAAAGCACAAGGATATTAAAGGTGAAACCGTTCTAATCACGGGCGGAGGAAGTGGCCTAGGTCGAAACTTAGCCTGTAGATTTGCTAAACTTGGCTGTCGAATTGTTATTTGGGACATTAATGCTCACGGAATGAATGAAACCGCCGCTCGAATTAAAAAATTGGGCTCACCCGTTTTCACCTTTCAGGTTGATATTTCAAACCGAGAATCAGTTTATGAGACTGCAATTAAAACCAAACAATTAGCCGGACCAATTACAATCCTAGTTAACAATGCAGGTAAGTTGATTAACTAATCACTTAATCAATCAGCAATCAACTAAACATTTTGTCACAATATTTAATAAAAGGGTTGCCTTTTTATCAATACTAATCATTGTTAATATTGATTAAGTATTGATTTAGATCAGTAGTTGTTGAGATTGATTGAAAATGAAAAATTAATTATCAAAATCTATTAATAATTATCACTAATGGTATTTATTGGCAAAGTTAATCAAATTTAACACTTAATTGTGAATTGTTTTGATGTTGCAATTAACTTTGAGATGATTAATCTAATCTTGATTAATAATAAAAACAATTTATCATTTTTTTTGTTGATTGTCTTTGCCCTCAAATCAATTGTGATCAGCTAATTGTGAATCTTTTCCGATTATCTTGATCACCTTTGGTAACAATAACAAGGAAGAAAGTTAATTTATTAGAGATACTAATTAAACAGTTAGTGTAGACAATGAAATTGATTAAATTTAATTGTTCTCATCAGGAATTGTAACCGGAAAGCGATTCATTGATTTACAAGATGATGATATTGATAGAACCATGGCCGTTAATTGTACCTCCAATTTTTGGATAATCAAATCGTTTCTTGGTAACATGATGGCAAATAATCATGGGCACATAGTGACCATCTCAAGTGTCGCTGGACTTTCAGGTGGACCTCGACTTGCCGATTATTGTGCCTCCAAATTTGCCTCCGTGGGCATTGATGAATCCCTAAGGTACGAGATGAAGACAGAGGGTTACGATGGGATCCACTGTACGGTTGTGTGTCCATGGTTCATAAACACCGGCATGTTTGACGGGGTGAAAACCAAGTACATGGGACTTTTGGACTCAGATTATGTCGCCGATGAGATAATCTCAGGGATTCTGGCTAATCAGGAGATAATTGTGGTTCCAAAGTTAATCTACTTCCTATTGTTCATCAAGTCATTTCTTCCCTCTCAAGCTTCATATTATATCATCAAACTGATCGGTGGTGACACGGCGATGATGACCTTTCATGGAAGAGCCAATAAGGTTAAACATGGTTAGAATACTTTTTCATCATGAACAATTAACTGATCTCAATTACAAACAATCTAAATGGCAGCTAATTGTGTCTTGATTTTTTGCTTCCAAATTGTTCATTTAATCAATCTATCATTTTCTATGTATTTATTACAAATCAAACTGATTAAAGATGAAGTACTTAAAACTGATTTAATTGTTGATTATACTACCTCATCTTCAGTTTGTTGTTAATTAATTGCGATTTGTAACAATTTGGCTAATTATGTTTCGTTAATTTTTTATAAATACAATTTATTTCAACCCAACAGAAATTATCAACTTTCTATCACAATTTTTAAATACAATCATTAACTTTTTGCTTCTTATTAATAATTATATCAAATCATTTTCTATCAAATTAATTGTATTCAAACAAATGATCTAATACATGAATCATAATATTGATTGTTTACAACTGTAAACAATCAAAAACAATCAAACGAGTGGAAATAAATAATCAAATTAACTCCCATAACTTTTAAGCGCAATTTAACTCAATCCATTTACAATTAAAACAAACAATCAAAGACGAGATCAATATTATTTCATTAAAATGACTAATTGTTTGTAAACTGATATAAATTATTTATCTCATTGATAAATAATTATCTCAACCCAATGAATCAAAGTTAAATTATAAAAGGAAATTAACTTTCACAATTAGTTGTACATTTCGCTTTATTGATTGTAGTTGAATCAACGATTGTGAAAATAGTAAATCATCAGAATGAAGTTACTTTTATCTGGATTGGTAATTGTTTTAATTGCAATTAACTTAAGTTCGTCGGTTTCAATTGACTTGAATGCACAATTGAAAACCAATGAGGCTTTCAACATTCATGCAGTTCTGGTCGCTGGTTCATCTGGATTCGGAAATTATCGTCATCAAGCTGATGTTTGTCATGCTTACCAATTGCTACGATCTCATGGTGTCCCAGCGGAAAATATTATCGTCATGATGTATGATGATATCGCCAATAACAAGGAGAATCCTTATCCAGGTCAAATTTTCAATGTTCCAAAAGGACCCAACGTTTATTCAGGAGTCTCAAAAGACTACACTGGACATGAAGTGACCCCCGAAAATTTCATCAAAGTGCTTAAAGGTGACAAGGAACTCGCAGCCAAGGGCAAAAAAGTTTTGACCTCTGGACCAAATGATCACGTCTTCATCTACTTCTCTGACCATGGGGCAACAGGTCTTGTTGCTTTTCCTTCATCGACCCTTTCATCCCACCAGCTCAATGAAGCTTTGGTTTACATGCACGACAACCGATTATACGGTAAATTGACCTTTTACCTTGAAGCTTGTGAATCAGGGTCAATGTTTGCCAACATTTTGCCCTCGAACATCAGTGTCTTTGCCACTACAGCGGCCAATCCAGATGAGTCAAGTTACGCCACTTTCTGTGATCAACCCGACATAATGACCTGTTTAGCTGATGAATATTCAGTTGCTTGGATTCTTGACTCGGAAAGTAATGATCTTACTCATGAAACTCTTGAAACTCAGTTCAAGAACGTTGTTAAATCAGTTAGAAATTCATCACCTCAAGAATATGGTTCTAAGGATTTGGGCTCCCTTGATGTTGGTCAATTCCAAGGAGAATCAAATAAACTCGACTCAAGATCCAAATTCATCAAAACTTCAGGTTCGATTAATAGTCGAGATGTGCCTTTGGTCAATTTGAAACGTCGATTAGCTTCAAATGGCTCGAATGACACAAAAGAAGTTCAATCAAAACTATCGACCCTTGTCTCTGGTCGTCGATTCTATGATAGGTCAATTCGACAAGTGATCGACGAACTTTGTACCAATGGATTCTGTTCACATGTTTCCGATGTTCTTTCAATTCGATTACCTTTAATTGACCATAAATCTTATTCCATAGTGACCAAAGCATTTGAAACTGATTGTATCAACCTTGGTACTCATTCCTATGGACTTAAATACATGTACGCTTTTGCTAATATCGTTCAATCAAATAACTTTGATTCCTCTGAACTTGAACGATTCACCCTACGATTACAAAAGGCATGTCTTAATCATCTAACTGGCCACGGATTTGAATCAATCGTCTAAAACAATTTATTAATTGTCAATGTATACAAATATTATAACCAAATAAAAACAAATCAATAATCATTAATCATTAATTAACACCCTTTTTGCAATCAATTATTTCATATGAATGAGTTAAAAAAAAACAATATAATAAATAAGATCAACTGATCAACAATCATAAGACCTAAATGATTAATCATAACTGAATTTACTAAGATTTGAATAGTAATTAAACATTACAATGAATAAACCAAATTCCAGTAACACTCTTATAACTTTCATCACTTTTCAGTCAGAATTTTCTCAGGTGGCATGATAGAATAAATCGAATCTGCAAAATTACCATAACCAAATTACTAAATTGTCATAAATGATGAAAGAATTGTAATCAAATTGATCAAAAAGTTTTTTCGGAAAAGAGAAATTGTGTCGCCATCTAGTGACCATTTTCTTAACTAAACGAGTCTCACGAAATTTCAACCTTGAGATTCAATTTGTTTTCAGTTTGAATTTATTATTCACCTGATCAACTTGAAGAAACTTTTACTAACGTTTTTTTATTTTTTCACTTTAAATGTGAAACTTGTTTTCTATCAAATTAATTAATTTACCTTTTTGATTAGTTTTTTCTCACTTTTCTTAAAATTAATTAAATGTGACAATGGTGATGATCAACAAAAATTAAGTTAACTATTTGCTTGGAAACAACAATTACACCGAGAACAAATAATTCCACCAGAAACTAAAACAATGGCTTTTGATGTGAGTGAATTTCTTGTTTGATTATCTCATCAATGTTTCTCATCACAAAATTAATCTTTTCAATTTTGTTTTATTCTATTCTTTTTTTTCTCTCTCCATCACCATAACCACTGATTACATTTGGTCAACTAATTGGTGTATTGAAATAGCAATACGATTTAGAGCAAAAAATTGACTATGAAATAAAGATGAGAGAGGGAACAACAAAGTTACTCGCTGCCTGTAAACATGAGATACAGAGTCTGGAACCAGCGAAATCATTAATTACATCAAATGAACGGATGAACGCCTACACCAGTGAGCTACAAAGAAGAAAACAAGCAGAATCAATCACCATGTGAGTTATATAATCGATCACTCAATCAACATAGACCGAGAGAGAGAGAGAGAGAGAGTAAAATCAGTTTGGAATATGAGAGAGAAAAAAAGGAGAACAGTAGGAAGCGAAAGCTTTTGAAAAATCAACAAGGAAGCAAAGAAAAGGAAGAGGAAATTTAAGAAGATTTGAAAGAAGAAGAGTTAAAAATAGTGATCTAGTTAATCTTTTCGAATTTCAATTTATCCCTGAGACTAATTATTCTTTTCGCTTCTCTTTTTCTCATAGAAAATCAAGTAAACAATTGAAACCCTGCAAAGCCAAAGTCGCCATCTCAGGTAAGCCTGTTGATCATTTTTCCATCATCAATTTCTAACACAATCACAACACCTCAAGTTCATTTGATTAATTGATTCTGTTAATTGTTCTTGTTGGCGAAACAACAACCAAACCTAATTTACTTCAACCCAAAAAAAAACCTGAAAAGACAAAAAAAAATTACCTTAGTAATAATAGAAAACAGGTAACCCCATGAGAGATAAATAATAAAAGTAAACATAAGGTGTGTCCCTTGATTGTTTTGGGCCATTCTCCTTGTTAATGTTTACCTTTATCATGTTTTATCATCTGAATCTCTCGCTTACTCACTCATTGAATTGCTGAGATTATATATCGATGCCAATTGGAAATGAAATCACTCAATCATCAATCAACAATCAACAAGACAAAGACACTCAAACTTGCTTGTTAATTGTACTGATCATTTGTTACCATTGAAAATTGAAAACAATCAAACAGAAAACAAACTTATCAATTTGAGGTCATCATCATATCATCATGAATATATGAATTTTCATGGTTATCAAATCATTAAAAGGGTTAATTGTGTTTTCTTTTTTTCTATAATTACACCTCAATCAATTTAATCTGATTAGAATCAGTTAAGGTTTTTAATAGTGTTCACCATGAGTATCATCATTATCATCATCATCTTTTACTTTCTCCTCCTCTCATCTCATCATCATGTTGAGAAAAACTTTTAATAACATAATCACAAAGTATATAATTTATCCTTAATTGTAATTATATTTTTTTTTCTTCCTTTGCATGTAAAGTTATCATTTACTTTTCGTTGTCATTTACATCATTTCTCATCAACAATCAACAATCATCATCATCATCTTCAAGGTTATACACATCATGGATATACCTCTTGATTTCACTTTCATTGTAATCATGATGATGAACTTTTCCTGATGAGAAAAGATGATAACAGAATTTTAGAATTTAGAGAAAAAAAATATTCTTTTTTATTTCTTTTCTTTCCATTACTTCAATTTATCATTCATCTTATAAAATATACAGAGGATTTCATTATGATGGAATCATTAATCCTACTTGATCTTCATCATTTACCTGAGTAGGTGTTACAAAGGGCAAACATATATTATCATCATTTCTTTGTGATGAAAATATAATTGATAACAATCAATTCCAATGTATCATGATGATGATTTAATCGTTTTCCCTAAGATTTAATTCAACTCAGAAATCTTGAAATTCCGGTTAATCGGTTGATTTTATTCTATGAATTTTTAAATTGATCCCATTGATTGTTGTCCAATTTAAACAACCACCTTGATAACAATTGGAAACTTTTAATAGCAACAAAGTATCAATCAGATTTTAATCACAGGAAATAATAGTTTACCTTTTTGATAACTTTATTTCAGAAATTTTTATCATGTCAACAACTTTTTCATTATTATTATCACTTCTATTATTATCTCCATCACCATGATGATGATGGCGATGATGATTATGATGATGATGATATCAATTGGAGTTTGAATCTTGCTGATCCATTTTGATGTTTTGAAAAAAAAATCAGATTAGGTTAGTGGTCAGAAACTGATATCCGACAGAGTGATGAAGATATTGAACTGATAATTAAGTTTTTCTGATTGTGATGAGGATCGATTCTTGATTGTTGGTGACACCAGCTCCTGATTCTCACAATTAGTTTATTGAACAATCTATTTTTGGTATTTAAATGGAGTTTTTTTACCACTTTTTCTAGTAAAAGTCTAATAGGAAACGAAAACCGTTATCTTCATCATTTTCTGATGCAATTTAATTTCATCCTCATCTTTAGGCCTAAAACTGTTGACGTTAATTTAAGATATTAATATAAACTTTAAATTGTTGCATGTTGTTGGCATATTCAGATCACAATGATTGAGGACAATTTAGCTTGAAGCTCATTTCATTTCAAATGATTAAGCTGCTGACTAAGGTTTCATGATGATGATGCGGATAATGCTGATCAGAAATGAAGATGATGATAAATGAAAAAGTAAAAACATTAATTGTAGTTAGTTAACTATCCTCATGTTTTGGTCATCAGAAAATAAGAATCATGAAATTGTTTCAGAATTTAAGATTCTCTCTCTCTCTCTCTCTCTCTCTCTCTCTTGATTCTGTCAATCGGAAAGTTATTTTCATGAAACAATCAAAACAATTAGTAAAACAAACAAAAGCAATCAGTTAATTACACCAATGATTAATTGCATTCTCTTGATAGCAATTACATTTATCCATTAAATGGCAATACAATAAATATCATCATCATCATGACATATTAATATTATTGATCATCAACATGTGAACATTTAAAAAATTGATATCTCGCAATTAAAACCATATCATTGATATTGTTGATTATTGACAATTAACATGAATTAAGGAATCAGATTAACCTTGATATGTCCAGTGAACAATTAACTAATAGTTTGTCCATTTGGTTAATGAAAACAATGAAAATAGTGAAATACTTGAAATTAAATCAACAACAATTAGCACTCACAAAAAAACAATGTTTCTTATGCCAAAGTATTACAATAGATTAACCATCATCTTAATTGTTACAAATTGTTGGTTTACCCAATTTTTTACCCTCTTTAATCAATTACAATTAACAGACAGAAGAAAAAATTAATAACAATCAAAATTTTCTCAACCATTTAATGTTACATTACCGGAAAAACTTTCATGGTTTACATTAGATTTTTTTTCATCCTCATCACTTGAGATCAATTTGATTTAATATCAAGTTACATTGAATTGTTTGATTTCTAATCAATTCCTTGGAGAAAAAAGTTAATTGTTGACGATTGCAAAAAGATGCTCTAAATTGTCAACAATATAAAATATCATTTTCTCATCTAAATCTCTCTCTCTCTCTCTCTCTCCATGATGTCTATCTAAAGATCAAGATTTAATTAGTAACTAAATTTAGTTGAACAATCAGTTATCATTGTTTTCCATGTTTCTATAACCATTATCATGTAAAATGGTTTCAAATTAATTACCATTAACAAAGATAATTAAGATGATCATTTTCAAGATTCGGATGAAATAATTTTCCATTGTCATCTTCACAGCCTCATCCATAACAATTTCGTGCCAATAGCAATAAAACTTATCCGATAATTCATATTGTATGTTGGTCGTGCCAATGCTCTGGCCCCACACCAAGCCCATTGTTTACCCTGCTCATTAAATATGAGACATGATCAGTTTATCATAATAATCATGCGATTAATTTTGTTGCTTTTTTTGCATAGAAAACCTCATGAAATCTTTTCCCAGAAGCTTCAATTACTGAGTATCATGTTCATGTGGGTTGTTTCATGGGAGTGTATCGATGATGATGATGATATTTGTGTGTGTGTTATGGATCAGCATCATGATTACTTTTGATTAGATTATGTAAAATAATCCAACTGTGAGTTATTACTGTTCCAAAATGATTAAATATAAATTCAATTGGATGTATAAACAAAGGCTTAGGTTTTGGGTTAGTGGATTAACATTAATCTCTCCCCCTTGGTTACCTTGCCCTTAATCCCACTTTAAATGGTTTTTGCTGTTAAAAAGTCACTTTTATTGCTAATTTTATAATAATAACGGTTAATTTATATTCATCGTAACATTTTGTTTTTGTTTATATTAATTTACATGAACATTAATTCATTCTGACATTTCAAACAATCATAATAATCATGAGAATGATTAATATTGATTAGGATGCTGTGTGATGTTGATTAAGATTTAATCATGATTAACATTTTTTTCGTTGCTCATCCAACAAAATTAAATCTAATTTTTGAGTTGATTTTCCTTCCCGATAATAAAAAAAATCCAATAAATTAGTTAACTAATTAAACTTGATCAATTTGATTGTTTGAATGTTAATTGTAGCTATGTAACCTTATCATCACATTTAAAGTAGGTAATCAACCACAAAGTTATTTTGTCCTACTAACAAACTTTGTCAACAATTAAGCATCATCATCATCATCATCAAATCACTTGACGTAACCATGACTATGTTTAGCTTAATTGTGATGCAATTAACAATTAGAAACAAATGAAAATAGATTTACAATTGACACACTTAATTTAATCTATTCCATGTAATGTTACTAATCATCATTGACTTAAACTGAATTAACTAATTCACTCAGACTTTGATCATTGACTTAACCCTACAACAATTTAACCTTTAATTGTCTTCCGGATTGATTACTTTTAACCATCAATTACCTGATATTATTATCTTAATCACCATGATCATCATCATAATTAACTAAACAATCATTTTTTTATAAACAAGTACAACAACTAATTTTGTTAAAAGTAAATGTTTATCGCTCAAGGCTAATTGTTGTTACTTTTTTTCTTGTTGATTAAAGTAAATAGTTAATTGATTCAATTCGATACATTAATTGTTGATTTAAACCATAATTAAAACCATTGAACCATCAATATTAACTTTACCTTCAACTTTTACCATTTAAAATCCCTTGAAACGGAACCTTAGAGAGTTTAATCAATAGAATCAACAATTAACTAGTTAGAAATTAACTTTAATCACAATTAAATCTCTTTCGATGGTAAATTTTCCCACTATGGATGAATTATTAACTCTCAATGATTTAAGTTTGAAAACAATAGTTACAAGTATTAAATGATTAGTATGAGAAATGATATTCATCATCAACGATTAACTAGATTAACAATTAACTTGATAATCTGAGTTAATCTTAATCTTGATTATCCTTTTGTATTTTGTTAAAGTTGATCACTTTCATCTTGATTATCAATCAACTTGAATCATCAAATGATTAACAATTAACTAATTTTCTTCAAGGTCTCAACCTTGATTTTAATCTGAATTAAATTGAACAATTCAACAGTTTTAATTGTACTGATTAATCAATGAATTATTCTTGTTTAATGTTGATTATTCAATGATGATGATTGAAATTAGCGATAATGATATTTAACTTGATCAATCAGATGAAAAGTTTACTTTTTGATATTTTATCATTTGCTTTCCAATCACAATTGTAAATCATTGACGGTCCTTTTTGATTGAGCTAATTGTAAATTGAACAATTTGTTAATCATCAAGGAAACTATTGAATTTATCGTAATTCTGATTTCCGGATATTTTTGGTGATCAAATTTTTTTTTATCATAATTTAATATTAATCATGATTACTATTATTACTCAATGATAATCATGTAAAAAAAGGTTACACAGATTAAAGTGATTGAAGTGAAACGATTTTTTTTGACTGTTAAATTGTTATTATCAACAATTTAAGTCACGATTATGAAGGTGATAACGATTAACTAATTGTGAAACTGAAAGTATGTATGAAAAGATGAGGAAAAGATAAAAAAAGTTCCATCATTTACCTGAGTTTGAGTTGATTGATTAAAACTACAGAATTGAATCTGAATACTTATCATGATAATCTAATATGAATTTTTTTTTCTCAATCTTTGTTATCGTAGCGTTAATGTTAAGCTAATGACCGGTTTAATGGTTGATTAAAATGATGATTAAATTAAGTAATTCTCACATGGAAATCGGTTAGCAACTTATCATGATTTAATCAAGTGAAAATTGCGAATCATAATCAAGACTATTATTAAATTGTTTCTGTCCTTTTTTCTGATACCAAACTATTAATAAGCTTTTACCTGAGAATCAGATAATGATGATGGTGAAAAAATTGATGATTGTGGTGGTGATTAACTTAATCATCACTTGAATCCATTCAGCAACAATTATCTAATTGTCTAATGATTTATGATCATTTGTTTACCATTTAAGTATGAATGCTTTTCCAATCCGATTCTTAATTGTTTTCTAACCGATAAGATTAACAATTAGTCGTTTCATTTAATCAACAATTTTACATTGGTTGGTGACTTTTAATCCGGTATTAAATCAAAACTAATTAACCTGTTTAATTACTGTTTATGTTTTGCTAATCACTGGACTACCTACCAATCCCTTTGAACCAAATCAAATTAATGAATTAATCAAATGAAGCGGAAAAAAATTGAAACAATAATGATGAGTTTTAATCACTATGAAGATGAAAAAGTCAAAGTTAAATTAACTAACAAAAAAAAATAGTCTAAATGTTAATTGTAATGTTGATTAGTGATTGTTGTTTTTTCAACATTAATTGACAATCAAAGTAAAAATTACTCAATTATTATCAATTCAATTGAGGCCAATTGTTTTTACAATTTACCTTAAGGCTTGATGATTGTTTGTTTACCTACAATAAAACAACAACAACAATCAACGTTTCGTGATCGGATGATTATCTTAATTTAATAATAATATTATTTTGATTGAAATTTATTGCATTGATATTATTATTATCATCTTGATTGTATTAATAATATCAATCAAATTCACGGATTAATCTACTTAATTACAAATCAAAGGTCAACAACCATTGAGAGTTGATTGTTGTTCATCTTCAATAGTAACAAATGATTAATGAATCAGCATGAAAATCATTAACATCATCATAACAATAATAATCTTGATCCTCATCACCTTATTTGCACTTAATTCTTGTAATTAACTTCCTCATTTCTGACCAATTCCTTAATTGTTTCAATCAACAATAACAAGAATCATTTAATATGTAAATTATTATGTAAACAATTGATTCTTCTTGAATTATCATCTAATCTAATTGTATAATTAGAGCAAACATTATAATCTTGCGGCTTTTCTTGATTCAGATTTCTAGATTAATTAATTGTTACAATCAAAAGTGATAATCACCAGGAAAAGTTTCATTACTTATTTTTTGGAACTTTGCTTATTTAGGCTTCTTAATTGTCACATCTCATTGTTGCTCAATGTTTACAATTTAGTTTTAATTGTTGACAATCAAGAAGAAAAAACTGCCCAACGTTTGCATAATGAAGAAATGATTTAATTGTCAACAATCAGTCAGGGTTTTAAGATCGCAATTGAGTTTCATGTGATGAATATTTTTCTGTATCCTGTTGATTGTAAATGTTACGATAACTCGAGCGGATCGAGTTCAGAACAATCGAATGAAAAAAAAAACTTTTCTCCCGCATCCTTTTACTCCTCTGATTTTTTTTCTTCTTAAATTTAATCGAATTTTTTTCTTCTATTCTTTCCAATTCAGATATTCGAATGCCTTTACTATGGAAGGACAGTGATCACTTTAAGAACAAAGGAGACTATCGGCGTTTCTCTGTTTTCTGCTTGATAAAATGTGGAACTGAAGTTTACGACACTGTTCTAGTTAACAATATTGATCGAAGTGCGACCGATATCAATTTCGATGATATAATTGTTCTCCGTCACATTCCCCATGACTTTGAGTTAAACTTCGAGGTTTACGGTCGATTGATGCACGATGATCTCAGTATTGCCTCGACGCCGAAAAAGCTTAAAAAGAAAATCTCTTCCTCAGTGAGTCGAACTTTCGGTCGAAAGTTAGGAGCCGCAATTAAAGAGGAACTTAACGAACCGTAGGTTAAATCTATTGATCTGATTTCTTCAATATTCTTACTAATCTAATAATATCAATTTCTCATCTTTTTTCATTAGTTATCCTAAATTTGATCTATTGGCCAAAGCATTATTAAGATTGGAGGATTCGGATGAGTCCATTTGTACATATGACTTGGAATTGGTCAAGGAATCTAATCGCCAGTCACAGTTACCTTTATTTGGCCTTTTCTGTTGTCGATTAGCAGTTCAACCTTATTGTCTAACAGAAGAGCGATTGAGTAGCTACTTGAAGGGCGATATTGAAACTACAGATGAAAATAATACCATCACAACGACAACGACAACGCCAACAACAACGACAACAACAACGACGACAACGATAACGACCACAACCTCGAGTGATAAGAACAACAAAAAAGAGGATAAAAAGAAGCCCATGTATTGGGCATCACTTGAAGCTTTTAAACTCTGCCTTTGGCGAAAGAAACTTTCATCAGTAAACACTGAACCATTGGCTAATCGACGAGCAGGTCAACCTACTCTAATTATTGACATTAATCAATTTACCGTTTGCAGAAAAGGTTCAGATTCAAAATCATTCACACTTATTAACACCTTAAACTTTAATGGTAAAGAGAGTAAAGTTAAACATACACTTTACGTGCTGAACAAAGAGGATCGAGAGGTTTGGTTGAATGTGATTGATGTTCACATTAAAGAGCATCGAGTTTGGGGTAAATCGGCAGAAACACTGATGGAAATTCCTGAAGCATCCTCATCAATTCAAATGCCCAGTTTTCTCAGTCAAAGACTTCCGGGTTCATTATATGACCAAACACCTTTACCAGGTAAGAATCAATTGTTGATCGACTTTCTATCGATAGTTTTAAAATCAATCAACAAATTTATGGTTACGTTGAACTTTCGTTGAGCCAAATTTAATTGGTTGAAAGTTAAACAATTAAATTGGGCGAAAAAATTAATTGTTCAAAGTGAAAGTACAGTTAATTATCATTTCTCACCAATAACCCATCCTATTGGTGAGCAAATCAATTATTCACTAAATTGTTAGTTAAATTATCAAACTGTATTATTATTAGAGTAACAATCAAGATGATTAACCAATCAACTGATATGTTTATTGTTAAACAATATTAAATATAATTCACTTAATTTAGCTGAAAATCATTTGGTTGGCAGATTAATAATTGGTAAATTGTTAAAGATAGTTGATAAAAAGGGAATCGTTCCTGACAACCAATAGGCCGTTAAATTGTCTTATAATTTACTTAATTGTTTACAATTTAAAAGCATTAATTGTGAATCTTTCTTTTTCCAACTAAACTGGAACCTCTTTTATTGTTGTTATTATATTAATTAACTATTTAGTGATTGTATATGTGTTAATTTAGAGCAACAATCAAGTTCATTTCTTTGGCAAACCTTTACATCATGATGATTGATTAATTGTTAGTGTTAATTGTGTAAATTGTTGTTGCTTTTTAAACAATCTAATTTTAACTATTGGTTATTTAGACTACCAAAATAATTTAGGCTCAACTAAATTTACTAATTACAATTAAACTAATTGAAATTTTTCTTGTTCTATTTTTCTTATTCAGATAAATTGATTAAAAACTATTCTACTTCATCGAGTCCCAATTGTTCAACTTACGATTTACGATCAAAGAAAAGTTCAGCCACGGGATCACTTCGATCACGAAGCTCAAGCCTCTCATCGGAAACCGATAGTAGCTCAACATCGACCGCACAATTAGGGACAAATTCCCGTTGGGCTAATACATTCTGTTCGGGAATTGATCTTTATCGAACGGTACAATTACCAAGGATAACACCTTTCTATTGACGCGAAAGTTAATCAATCAGAAAATCAATTGAAACAAAAAATGGAAACAACATTAATCTCTATTGATTCTGTTAAATATTTCATCAACAATTAATATTGTCTAATCGTTAATTGTAATGTTATTGTTTCTATTTTGCAATTAATATTATCAATTAACTTTATCATTAATGAAAATGTTCAATTCTTTGTTATCTTTGTAACATTTTCAATCGCAATTCCTTAATTGTAATAATTATATCATCTATTGCCAAAAACTGATTAACTATTACAATCCCTTTCTTTGTCTTTATATTATTATTATAAAATAATTAATGTATCAACAATCAACTCATTTTTGTTTACTAATTGTAAGGATAAAACAAAAATCAACAAGGCATTCAAATTGTATCATTCACGGATTTACCAATCATAATTATTATAACAATTAACTTACCATAATTATTGATTAACGTGCCTTATATATAAATAACAATTTAAATTACTACCTTTCATTGTATTTCTAATTGTATAATTAACATGGTTCCTTGTGTTTACTTCACACACCATTAACACTCATTTCCTCCTACACTAATCACTTTTGTCTAATAATCAGTTAATCATCTCTATTGTCTCAAACTAATTATGGTCTAGAAACAATGATAATTACCATTACGATTATCTTTTAATTGTTACAAGTCAGAGATCACAATTGGTTCGTGAATTGTTACCAATCAACGGAGTGAACCAAACAATTGGAACTTTACAAAGACAAGAATCGAATCTTTATTAAACTAAAGATATTAATTCATAAGATGAAAATTTTGTTCCCATTATGATTGAATGTTTAGTTAATTGTTCCTTCGGTGGAAAAGTGGCCCATTAAGGTTTGAACTTTTCGAAAGTCAATGGTGGTAAATGTTTAGGCCGTCGAGCAATACCATAGACCGCTTCTGAGAGAAGATCAGAATCGATTTTCTCAGGTTTGATTCGATATCTTTGTAAGATGCTAACAGTGTACAGAAATAGTTCCACATTAGCTAAACTCTCGCCGGGACAGTTTCTTTTTCCGCTACTAAATGGTACCAAATAGGGAGGTTTAAATGCCTTGGTTCCATTGTCGGTTAAGAAGCGATTGGGGTCGAATCTCTCTGGATCAGGCCAAAGTTTTTCTTCCCGGTGGATACTCCATAAGTTGAAGACTACAGTCGCTTCTTTAGGTATGAAGAAATTTCCGATTTTAGTGTCACTTGTAGCCCGTCGAAGTAGATTGGTAGCGATGACTGAACCAGTTCTTTGAACTTCGTAAAGAAAGGCCATTGTAAACGGCATCTGATTTCGATCGGTGTAGTTAGGGTCTCGTTCATAACCGATGACTTCACTTATTTCATCTCGAATCTTTTCTTGATATTCAGGTCTTGCAGCGAGAAACATCATACCCCATGATAGAGTACTGGTGATGGTCTCTGATCCAGCGCCGAAAAAAACTGTCGCATTTCGTCTTAAAATGTGCAAATTGAACATGTTGTCATCTTCACCTTTGATTTTTCTTCTTTCATGTTCTTGTAAATATCCATCAATGTAATCCACTATTTCATGTGAGTCTTTGTCTTTAGCCACATGATCATCAACATGCTTTTGAATTACCGATTCGATAGCAGCGATTCCTTTTTTGAACTTTTCGAAGTTGGTAAAGCCAAAAAACGCAAGTATCTTTATCATCCAAGGTAGAAACGCCTGTAGACTTGCAAATCTTAATGCCTGCGCTACTCTCTCAACATTAGTATCGAGTTGAATCTTTAGTGGGTCAGAATAGTCTGATGCTTTTCCAAACAAGAAGCTCGATATTATGTTTGCGACACTCGGTTGAACTTTTTTGATGAAATCGACATTTCGACCTTCAAGTGTAGGTAAGAATTGGTTAATCTCTTTGGTTATCAAGTTTTCCATTGCGCTTTTACCAAAACCAACATCTCGAAGGATGTGTAATGAAAGACGACGATGTTCACGCCATATATCACCGGACATTTCCATGAACGAAGGTACATCACCAGGCTTGAAGGTCGAAAGAGGTCGAGCCAATAGCGATTCATCAGCAAAGGCCAGTTTAAGATGTTCCCAGTCACAAATAACGACGACATCATGTTGACCCAATCTTAGACTAAAAACTGGTCCATACTTTTTGGCCAATCTATCAAAGAAAAGGTAAGAATCATCATTGATAAAGGGTAAATATCCAACAATTGGAAGTCCCCAAGGTCCAGGAGGTAATTTTCGCCGTCGATTGATTGATGTAATAATGCTGTTGATCATCAACATTAAGGCGAGTGCCAAAGCGACAGCGAGTAAAGGTAAACTCGATACATCAAAATAATCAAGAAGAGACATAACTTAGCCTCAGGAATGAAATGAAAAACAATAGACACAAATAAAGAAATGAAGTAGACAAATGATTGGTATCAAAGACTTTGACTTGAACTGTGCACGATAATGAAGATAATAATTAATCTCTGTTTATGAGAGACAAGATTGTTAATGTCAACAACGAGTTGATTGTAATCAAATAATAAATAACAAGAGAGAACAGTTAATGTTGTTAATGTGGAATTTTAGTTGAAACATTTCGACCAGAGGGCACTTATCGATTCTATAAGACCGGCAGGTTCTAGAATTTGAATATTCTATCTTCGAAGTAACCCAAAAATACGCTTTTTCCATCATAGAACGTGTAATAAGCCGATGATTCAGATGCTTGGCAACTTTTCTTTTTCTCATAAGGCTGAAGTCTCTTTTCTGCTCTTTGGATCGAATGGTTATCTAATCAGCTCTGAATGTGGACCAATCTCGAAGTCCGAAGAAGGATTGGACCTCGAAGATCGAGAGCTTTCTTCAAGAAAATTGATCTAAACCGCTTTCATTTTAGAATAGTGATCTGCAATCATGAGGACAAAAATCAACAGATCAAAAATCGCTTTCGATTTAATTTCTAACACATCAGTTCTTTTGGATATCTACAAATGTGAGAGCTTTGCATTAAATTTGACCGACGAAACTTGGACATTTATATTAATAGATCACATTTTCGTGAGTTGTACTAAGAAAGCAATTATTGATGTTAAATTACATGAATTTACAGTAAAGCTGCTGAGCAATAGATTTAACTTTTTGATCTGTTGAGTTTTTGATGATGATTAATGTTGGAGTCTTTTGAATGTTAGTTTTGGTAAATATTTTGGCCTTCGTGCGACACCAAGAACTGATTGTGAACAGAGATTATGATCTATTTTCTCGGACTTGATTCGATATCTTTGTAATATACTAACAATGTACAAAAATAGTTCCACATTAGCTAAGCCTTCACCTAAACAGTTTCTTTTTCCGCTACTAAATGGTACCAAATAGGGAGGTTTGAATGCCTTGGTTCCATTGTCGGTTAAGAAGCGATTGGGGTAGAATCTCTCTGGATCAGGCCAAAGTTTTTCTTCCCGGTGGATACTCCATAAGTTAAATATAACCAATGTATCTTTCGGTATAGTATATTGGCCAATTTTCGTATCGCGAGATGCACGTCGAAGTAAATTCGATGCAATAACAGATCCAATTCGTTGAGTTTCGTAGAGAAAAGCCATAGTGAAAGGCATTTGATTTCGATCGGTATAATTTGGTTTTCGATCATAACCAATGATCTCACTTATCTCGGAACGAATTTTTTCCTGATATTCTGGGAAGTGGACAAGATAATTCACTGCCCATGATAAAGTAGTAGCGACAGTTTCTGAGCCCGCGGCGAAAAATTCAGTAACGTTTCTCTTTAGAATTTGTGAATTGAAAATGTGATCTCCTTTCGTAGCGAGTTTCTCTTTTTCCTGTAGATACCCATCAATATAATCAATGATCTCAGTCGACGGCGAAAACCTTTTTACGTGCTCATCGATCTTTTCCTGGACTAAATTATCGGCGGTTTCGATGGTTCGTTTGACTTTGTCTAAACCTGCGACTTTAAAATAAGAAAGAATCCTGGTCAACCATGGTAAGAATGCTTGAATTCCAGTAAATTGGAAAACTTGATTAACCTCTTCCATTTGTCTATCCAATTCAATCTTATATGGATCAGAATACTCGAAGTTTTGACCAAATAAAAAGCACGAAATTATATTCGATACACTTGGTGTTATCTTTTTTGTAAAATCGATTTTTTCTCCTTCAATTGTTGGTAAGAATTGATCGATTTCTCTGGTGATCAAAGTTTCCATTGTACTTTTACCAAAACCGACATCACGAAGAATTTGTATTGAAAGTCGTCGATGTTCACGCCAAGGGTCACCAGACATTTCGATAAACGAACTCTCATCGATTAGTCCCGGAAAAAAGTTCTCATAAGGTCGAGCCAATAAGGCCTCGTCAGCGAAAGCGACCTTAAGATGTTCCCAGTCACAAATAACTACAGTATCATGTTGACCTAATTTCAGACTGAAAACGGGTCCATATTTCTTGGCCAGTCTATCAAATACTAGATAAGTATCATCTTTGATAAAGGGTAAGTAACCAACAATGGGATAGCCCCAGGGTCCATTGGGTAATCTTACCAAACTGATGATCCGTGAAACTATGTAATTAAAGGCCACAATAAAGGTGAGTCCCGAAGCGATGCTGAGTAAAGGCGTCGATACCTCAAAATAATCAAACAGAGACATAACTTAACCCATGGAACGAAATCAAAAATAATTAAACAGACAAACAGAAAGAACAAGTCATCAAATGATTAGTATCAACTCGTGGTTGACAATAACAATCTTATCTCTTGTTAATGGAGATTAATTATTATCTTCATGGTCGTGCATAGTTCAAGTGGTTATCTAGTGAGTTCTGATTGTCAACCAACCTCCAACTTCGTAATTGAGGCCTGATCTCAATTAGACGTTGAGGTTCTCAAGATTTCTATAAGAAATTGATTAGCCCTGTTTGGTTCTAGAACATTGATTTCAAATCAAAAACCAGAAATCAGCTGAAAAAAAGTTGTTTTCTATTTGATTTATAATAAACTAATTGCTTCAGACATCTACAAATGTAAGATCTTTGATTTAAACCAGGAAATTAATATTATTAACTGTCAAAAATAACAATGAGACAACCACAAAGTCAATAGGATAATCTTATCAAAAAATTAATTCGGGAAATGATATAATTTAAGATCAAAACAAAGGCCAGTCCTGAAAAGGTGTCAAGATAAGGTGTCGTTACCTTAGAGTAATCAGATAAAGATTAACCTCAGAGATGAGAAATATTAATATTATTATACAAACGATTCATTTGATATCAGTATTAATCAGATACTAATCACATCTTTAATAAACAGAGATAGATCATTATTGTGGAGAGTTGAAACAAATAGTCAGCTGAACATTTCTTGCTAATGACTAGTGATTTTAACTAATCAGTGTGAATGATCAAATCAATTCCTTCGGATTACAAATGAAATTACATTTACGTTATATTAATTGACAGAAACTTGGGAACTTTTCATGTCATAAAGATTGAGATAATCTTAACAATTTGATGCACCAATTTTGATTTTTAAGTCGTAGATTATTAAATTGATTATAACTTGATAAGCTTTTGAATTTTGAGTAAGAATTTATTAATATGTTTTAATAATAATCAATAGAATGTATGAATTTTCATGTAAATCTAAGGCTAGAGACGTTTGATTGATTATGGTTTGAATTTTTCGAAAGTCAATGGTGGTAAATGTTTCGGCCGTCGAGCAATACCATAGACCGCTTCTGAGAGAAGATCAGAATCTATTTTCTCAGGTTTGATTCGATATCTTTGTAAGATGCTAACAGTGTACAGAAATAGTTCCACATTAGCTAAACTCTCGCCGGGACAGTTTCTTTTTCCGCTACTAAATGGCACCAAATAGGGAGGTTTGAATGCCTTGGTTCCATTGTCAGTTAAGAAGCGATTGGGGTCGAATCTCTCTGGATCAGGCCAAAGTTTTTCTTCCCGGTGGATACTCCATAGGTTAAAAATTATAGTTGCTTCTTTAGGTATGAAAAACTTTCCAATTTTGGTATCATTGAGAGCTCGTCGAAGTAGATTAGTTGCTGCGACTGAACCAGTTCTTTGAACTTCGTAAAGAAAGGCCATTGTAAACGGCATCTGATTTCGATCGGTGTAGTTAGGGTCTCGTTCATAACCGATGACTTCACTTATTTCATCTCGAATCTTTTCTTGATATTCAGGTCTTGCAGCGAGAAACATCATACCCCATGATAGAGTACTGGTGATGGTCTCTGATCCAGCGCCGAAAAAAACTGTCGCATTTCGTCTTAAAATGTGCAAATTGAACATGTTGTCATCTTCACCTTTGATTTTTCTTCTTTCATGTTCTTGTAAATATCCATCAATGTAATCGACAATTTCATGTGAGTCTTTGTCTTTAGCCACATGATCATCAACATGCTTTTGAATTACCGTTTCTGCTGCCTCCATGTAGCTTTTGAATTGTTTGAAGTTTGATAATCCAAAAAAAGCCAAAGTTTTTATCAACCAAGGTACAAACGCCTGCAGACCGGCAAATTTAAATAACTTTGCTGCGTTCTCAATATTGGTATCCAGCTGAATCTTCAGTGGGTCAGAATAGACTGACACTTTTCCAAACAAGAAGCTCGATATTATGTTTGCAACACTCGGTTGAACTTTTTTGATGAAATCGACATTTCGACCTTCAAGTGTAGGTAAGAATTGGTTAATCTCTTTGGTTATCAAGTTTTCCATTGCGCTTTTACCAAAACCAACATCTCGAAGGATGTGCAATGAAAGACGACGATGTTCACGCCATATATCACCGGACATTTCCATGAACGAAGGTACATCACCAGGCTTGAAGGTCGAAAGAGGTCGAGCCAATAGCGATTCATCAGCAAAGGCCAGTTTAAGGTGTTCCCAGTCACAAATAACGACGACATCATGTTGACCCAATCTTAGACTAAAAACTGGTCCATACTTTTTGGCCAATCTATCAAAGAAAAGGTAAGAATCATCATTGATAAAAGGCAAATATCCAACAAGTGGAAGTCCCCAAGGTCCAGGAGGTATTTTTTGCACGCGATTGATTGAAGAAATAATATAGTTTAAGATCACAATAAAGATGAGCCCTGAAGTGATGCTAAGCAAAGGCATCGATACCTCAAAATAATCAAACAGAGACATAACTTAACCTTAGGAATAGAATTAAAAAATTTAATTCACTCAGATGAACATAAGAAAAGTACAACGGGTTCGTACTAACTCAGTGTTGTTATTAATCGAATTTCTATATAATTTTATCTCTTATAAGCTTTCGTTATCCTCATCACCGTACAGAGTCCAATTGGTTACCAAGTCAATGCTGATTGTGAAACAGTTACTAAGGTCATGATATATGGTTTTATCGTAAATAGAATACAGGATCTGATGATTTTGATCCGAAATTTGATTAACTTTCAATAGTTTTGTTTGCAAAATCTCCAATTTATCACCGGTAATCAGTCTAAAATCAATTAGCTTTATATGGATCTAACTTTTGATTGCTCATCACTGAATCAACTTGTTCTAATAGATTTTTATAGATTCTATCAGTAGAAACTAATCAAAGTTCAACAGTGATAATGATCCTGCAAGATTATACTAATAATAAGTCTTGTATTACATGTAGGTGGATTTATTAGTTAGTAAATCAAAATCTAAACCCGAGTAGTTTTTGATTAAAGACTTAATTTCGAGCATCAAGAATCCAAATTCAACTCGAATCGCTCAAATATTCAGTAGAATGTGTGATTCATCATGAAAATCTAACACTGATTGTCCAGTTGTCGTCAATGTATTAATTTGGAACACAAGAAATGACATAATTCTTTTTACAGATACTCAATAAACTCAATGAGAATATAAACCAATGGTTTCCTTTTAAAAGTGACTATTTATCAGATTATATTGATAAATTCTTGGTTGATCTTCAATATTTGTCTGTTTCAGTTTTTCACAATGATTTTCGAACTTTAAATTGTTAATATTTTATTGCTTTCGGCTATCGTTTCTGGCCTTGAATGGAGTGACTGTGGTGGAAATAACAAAGCAATAAGCTTCAACAAGGGCAAACTTCTGGAAGACAAACTGGTAATAGCCAATGGAAAAACATTAAGCACCGAAGTTGATTTCGATGTTCATCGAATTCTTGATTCAAATGTTCAGAATAATGTTTTCTTGGTCAAAGTCATTCAATTACTATTCAATCATTGTGCAAAGTTCAATTGGGTAACTATGGTCTGATCATGAATAGAGCACAGGATCTGATGATTTCGTTCCGAAAATTGAATAACTCTCAATCTGTTTTTTGGAAAATTTTCAATACAAGATAAAATAACAGTTCGTAAGTTTCTACTCACTTATAACAAAAAGCGACCTCTCATATTTGTACTCGAAGATTATTAATCAGTTTAATCTAATAATAATAATCTAATTAAGATTTGATGATCTAATAATGATCTTTGGAGGCGAAATTCAAAACATTCTACTTTATTATTGAATTGTTCTTATTCTAATGTTTAAGGGAAAAGAGTACGTCAACGTTTTTATCTTTTATCTTACATGATTGCGAATCAATAGAACTAATAAACAAATTCTGAAATATTCAGTAGATTGTGTCATCTATCATGTAAATCTAACACTAGCTGGACAATAATCATCGATATGTTAATCAAACGCACAAGAAATGACATAATGTTTACAGATATTTGATGAGCTCAATATAAGAATATAAATCAGAGAGTTCGTAACTAATTCGTCACTTACTATTAATACTTATCCGATCACTTGTCGAATCTACAATATTCACTTTAATTTTATTTCGATTGTGGTTAATTTGATTTAAAACTAATTCCAAATGATTCTAAAACTGTCAATTATTTTACCATTGTTACTATTAATATTTTCTTCCATCGTTTCTGGCCTCGAATGGAATGACTGCGGTCAACCTGATAGAGCCGTGAAGATCAACAAGATCGACTATTTTAGTAGTAATGTAATTATAATGGACGGTAGAGCTCTACGTGGTGAAGTTGATTTCGATATTATTCGACCTCTTGGTTCAGACGTTCGAATAACAATTAGCCTGAAAAGAATCATTTCATTTTGGGGATATGAAACTCGAATACCAATACCCTGTTTCGGTATGTGCTCTCAATCATTATGTGAATTGATCGATCAAGAAAACAAAGTGACTCGGGATTTTTCGGCTGCGTCTGGTGGTCCAATCAAATGTCCTTTGTTACCACGAAATTATTCAGCTCGTATGTCGTACATAGTAAATATCCATAAGTTAAACTGGATTCCAAGTGCGATGCGATATTTATTTTCAGTAAGTTAGATCAACTTTTTATTTGTATCTTCAAATTTTAAATAACCATAATTTTCACTTTCAATATTGGACTTTAGGGTGATATCGAAAGTACCACTTATGTGACCGAAGGAGATCGTGAGATCGGATGCCTTTATCTGCGATCTTATGTAGAGCTTGAATAATCATTGGATTGTGAAAGAAAATAAAAATTGAAGGTTTATTTTTAATTTGAATTTGATTGTGTCTTGTCTATCAATTTAAACTTTCATTATTATCAAAGTCTTTCAAATGTCAATGGTGGCAAACATTTTGGTCTTCTTGCTGCAGCATAGATCGACTCTGAACAGAGATTATGATCTATTTTCTCGGACTTGATTCGATATCTTTGTAATATACTAACAATGTACAAAAACAGTTCCACATTAGCTAAGCCTTCACCTAAACAATTTCGTTTGCCAGCACCGAATGGTACCAAATAGGGAGGCTTGAATGCCTTGGTTCCATTGTCGGTTAAGAAGCGATTCGGGTCGAATCTCTCTGGGTCAGGCCAAAGTTTTTCTTCCCGGTGGATACTCCATAAGTTGAATATAACCAATGTATCTTTCGGTATAGTATATTGGCCAATTTTCGTATCGCGAGATGCACGGCGAAGTAAATTGGATGCAATAACAGATCCAATTCGTTGAGTTTCGTAGAGAAAAGCCATAGTGAAAGGCATTTGATTTCGATCGGTATAATTGGGTTTTCGATCATAACCAGTGATCTCACTTATCTCGGAACGAATTTTTTCCTGATATTCTGGGAAGTGGACAAGATAATTCATGGTCCATGATAAAGTAGTAGCGACAGTTTCCGAACCAGCACCAAAGAATTCAGTTACATTTCTTTTCAGAATCTTGAAATTGAAGATATGATCACCTTTCGCTTTGCGTTTCTCTTTTTCTTGTAGATACCCATCGATATAATCAACGATTTCAGTTGATGGTGAATAGCTTTTCATGCGTTCGTCAATTTTTTCCTGGACTAAATTATCAGAATCATTTATTGCTCGTTTGATTTGCTCCAAATTTGCGACTTTAAAATAAGAAAGAATCCTGGTCAGCCATGGTAAGAATGCTTGAATTCCAGTAAACTCAAAGACTTGGCCCAATTTTTCCATTTGTTCATCCAATTCAATCTTATATGGGTCAGAATACTCGAAGTTTTGACCAAATAAAAAGCACGAAATTATATTCGATACACTTGGTGTTATCTTTTTTGTAAAATCGATTTTTTCTCCTTCAATTGTTGGTAAGAATTGATCGATTTCTCTGGTGATCAAAGTTTCCATTGTACTTTTACCAAAACCGACATCACGAAGAATTTGTATTGAAAGTCGTCGATGTTCACGCCAAGGGTCACCAGACATTTCGATAAACGAACTCTCATCGATTAATCCAGCATAGAAATTCTCATGAGGTCGAGCCAATAAGGCCTCGTCAGCGAAAGCGACCTTAAGATGTTCCCAGTCACAAATAACTACAGTGTCATGTTTACCTAATTTCAGACTGAAAACGGGTCCATATTTCTTGGCCAGTCTATCAAATACCAGATAAATATCATCTTTGATGAAAGGTAAGTAACCAACAATGGGATAGCCCCAGGGTCCGTTGGGTAATCTTACTAAACGATTAACTTGTGATACCAAATAATTGAAAATTACGAAAAATGAAAGTCCAGTGATGATACTTATTAGAGGGTTAGTAAGTTCAAAATAATCGACTAGGAACATTATCACTTTTAAATATTAATAGATCGACACAGGTAAAGTAAGCTCAGAACTCTGAATGAATTCCCAGAATTCAAATGTAAACATCACAAGCTCATTTTGTTGATTTATCTCAATCTTGATAAGCACAAGTACTTGTCTCGAGTGGGTTGATATTGAAAAGAAACGCCATTCCTCAGGTTGATCACGAGATAAATTCGCGACGATTTCAGTCCGTTCGCTTTTCTCAATAACTGGCAATTGGAAGATCACATTCAATGATTAACCTCAGGTGACCTTGACCTACAATCTCATTCGCTACAATTTCATCAAAAAAAAGTGAGAATGAGAAGTCAATTCAATGAATCTTTTCTTGCAAAAGTAAATCAGCATCTGAAAAAAAAAACTTATTAATTGTATCTCATTTTTAGTGATTAAATGGTCCACATATAAGAAGCATAAGAAACTACTTATATTCAGCAATCAAATTGATTTGATCAAAGTTACATAATAATTAATGTCGACTAAAAATCTAATCATTAGTCTTTTTGATTACGTTTGTCATTTACTTGCCATTTATCATTTAATATTTTTTCTCGCTCATTTGTGTGATCATTTGATTCCTAAAAACAATGAAATTAATTGTATTAATATTGGAAATAAGCTTATCCATAATTTGTAAGTAATTAATTAGTTTTACATTGTGATTCCTATTAATGAGATAATCTTAATTTCAATTGATTTCATCAGATTGTGATGCTTGGCTTGGTGATCAGACCATGGATTCTGGTGATATTATCATTTGTAAATCAACTAATTGGATAATTGATGTTTTCAAATATCACACACTAATTGCGAGTGGACATGATAAGTTAGTCCATGTGATTGGTCATAAGAATAAGGCTCAGATTGTCGAGGAAACTGTGAAACAATATCTTGATCGAAATATGGAGAAAAATTGTCACAACAATGGACCAGGAAGTAAAGGACGTGTTCGAACAGTTCAAGATGCATATTCGAGTTTGGAAAAGTTTAAAGGTCAAAGTGTCTATTATAACCTTTTAACTTGTAACTGTCAACATTGGGTTGAATATTGGGCTAATGGTCAAGCCTGGTCACCAAGTAGTAAACAATATGGAGGAAAAAAGTGTCAAGCTCCAACTTCCGGGTCTAAAAACTTATTAAAGGCTCTGTTTAATTTTTGACAATCGAAATCGTAACAATCAAATTAAAGTAAACCAACTTTACCATCACTCACTTATGATAATAAATTCATACTGATTTAAATTTTAATCGCCTCGTGAAAGTTAATTAAAGTTTATCAATGTTGATTAACCTGATTTATTACCTGGACAATTTATCGATGCTTGTTACTAATCATCACCATAAAAAAAATCAACAGTTACGTCATTTGATTGATCCTGTGATGAATTGAATTCTTGGTGTTTTTTTTGTTCAGCTCATGATTTGCTCATGATTCTGATTCTCTGTCTTAATTGAATTGAATTAAATTATAATTAATTACTTTTCACTTTACCATTAGATGTATAACATTGACCAAATTACTTAAACCTGATTAGTTTCTCAGAGAAAAGTTTCAAAGTTTCAATAAGAAACAAGATTCATTGATTGTCCATGTGAACATAATCAACACTGAACATGGACTCGAAGATCGAGAAAAACTTCGTAAGTGTTTCAACGATGACCTCAACGAAGTCTTTGGACTTGACCGAACAAGATAAAGGTCAAAATGATGAATCATCTAAATTTGTCCATCGAAATCAAGTTTTGTTCATTTTCGCTCTAGTTTTCGCCAATTTTGCTGAAGCTTCTTGTTTCTCACTTCAAGCACCATTTTTCCCGAAATTTGCTGAAGGTAAAGGAGCAACACCGTCGATTTATGGCTTGATTTTCGCGATTCTCGAAGTAACCATTTTATTATCGGCACCCGTTTATGGTAAATTGGTAAGTACACAAGCGACTTTATCTCGAAGATCAATTTTGACTGATCTCTGACAATTCAGGTCGCTTATATTTCGTGTAATGTTTTGATGCAATTTGGCCTCGCACTTGCTGGAGTCACTGTTATATTATTCGGGTAAGATTTTGATGATTCGAGAAAAGTTCCGAACTAATCGATTATTTCTCGATTAATCTTAGATTGACGGTCTACTTACCGTCCGGTTCCATCTTCATAACTTGTTGCTTTATCCTTCGGGTCCTGGACGGACTCGGTGTTTCTGCTTATCTCACGTCGAGTTATTCGGCAATGGCCAAACAATTTCCCGATCGTATTGCCTCAGTTTTTGTGAGTTTTGATTCTAATAAATTTCCAGCAATTATTTGAAACGTTCTTTGTATTTTCAGGGTCTCCTTGAAGTGGCATTTGCCTCTGGATCGACTTTCGGACCTACTATCGGGGGCCTACTTTACGAGTATGGAGGGTATTTGTTACCTTTTATGGTTCTTGGGTCTACTTTACTGATCGCCACTGTGATTAATCATTTCTGTGCACCAAGAATCGGTAATGCCTTTATTGCTAATTCCAATAGAGTCAATTTCATATACTTCTCGATATTTAATTTGTAGCGATACCTGAGATTAGGAAGCCCGTTTCATTGTCCAAATTTTTATCCGACTTCGGGACAATCGTCGATTTGTTGAGTATTTGTGTTACATTTACAAATCTTGGTCTATTAAATGTTTTCCTCGAACCTCATTTGCGACAGTTCAAACTTGAGCCAATTGCACTTGGACTAATCTTTGTAACCCAAGGACTTGCATATGCAACGGCGAGTCCACTTATCGGATGGATTGTCGATCATGGAGTAAGTTAAATTTTAAAAGTTTTAGAATTTACTAATAATCGAAATCGACCTTAACAAAATACGATCTCACTAAATCATCAGGTTCCACCAAAAGTTATGAATCTCATTTGTTGTCCAATATCAATGGCCGGAGCGATACTTTTGGGTCCATTGCCCTTATTGGAAATCGACTCGACAATTGAGTTAATTGTGGTCTCATTGTCTCTTATTGGTATCGGTGAGGCCGGTAGAGCTCTTTGTGGGTTTGTATCGGTGCGACGAGAGACAACCGGACGTAGGGGCTTCCATGAGAACATTGAGACTTACGGACTTATCACAAGTACTTTCCTATCATGTACTAGCATCGGGTAAGATAATTAACATTACTGGATTTTTAGATCGGCAAATTAAATCAACAATCACTTTAATTGTAGCTTTTCAATTGGCCCTTCAGTTGGTGGATTAGTTTTGGAAGCGTTTGGATCGATCCCAACAACTTTTCTGATGATTGGATTAAACTTGATGATGGTAAGTTTTTATTACCACAATCAGAGTAAAATAATCACAATTAAATGACTAATGAACCTCTTAATTGTCAACAGGCATTACTACTGATAATCAACCTGCTAAATCACAACAATTGGAAAACAATAATTTGGAATCCAAATCAACGCAACTAAACAGTTTTCAATAGCAAATTTAAATCTTATATTAAAAAACTATTTGTCTATCAATTGAAATTAATTATTATCGATGTTCAAATGTTCAAGAATCGTGTCCATCCTGGTAACTCGTGCTGACTGAAGGTCAACTTGATTACTAGATGATTATCATCATTAAACTTGATTCCAACTTCGAGTGAAACATTGATAGACTTGGTCGATTATCATATTCGAAGTGACCTTGATGCTGTCGATTATTGAATAAAGATCAATTATCTAATGTCGAACGAGTTAACCAGCTAATTGATTATGAAGAAAAAGAAAAGTGCAAAGATTAATTATGAATTTAATTGCAATTCTTTTAATACTTTAGCAATAATATCACAGTTTCTTTAATTGTTTTTATCTAATCAATAGTTAATCAATATTTACGTTCAACTTGTGCTGATGTTTTAACGTTTTTTGCTGCAAATCTTTTGACAACTAGATTACACATTAAGTAGGCAGCAATGAAAGCAATTAGATCAACGATTGAACAAATTGCCATGACATATAAAAACACCGATGGATGATCTTCAAGCCATTGACTGATTATCCATGGGTAAAGAAATTCACCAACACAAGCGGAAACAATGAAAATTGAGGTTATCCTTCCGGTCACCGGGAAATATTGTTGAAGATAACCCAAGACTCCAGCAAAAACTGGACCAATACCAATGCCCATAGTTGCAGTGAACAGGTAAATCGCCCAAAGGTAAGTTTCAGCAAAGATGCAAAGGCAAACTGAGCTGATCACCATTATGCTTACATGGATTAAGATCATCGCTGTATGGGAAATGTTATTAGCGAAAAGGATTACCGGTATTCTGTACAGGGTCGTCGTGCTCCAGAAAACTGTCATCAACGATGCGGCTTCAGTTTTAGTCATTGCGAGTGAAGATTTAACCGCAAAACTTGGTAATAAGTTTGCTACAATTAAGGAACAATTAACGGTTCAAATTAGTTGATTATCTCTTTTTTTGTTCATCATAAAAAAGCAAATGTAACTCAGGTTACGATAAAAATTCATCTCGATAATATTATTTACTGATGATGATAAATTCAGTTGATTAAAAGTCAATCATGATGATCAATATAATTTCCTGAAGTTAATAAAAATCAACAATCAACATTATCATTCTGACAGTCAAGTTTGATTGTGATTAACTTAACCATAGATTCATTGAATATTGGTTATTACAAGTGTGGTAAATTTTCAAGTACGTTTTCATGTTAATCATTGAGACAAATTGAAATTAATTTGATTACAAAAAGTACGTAATCAAAATGACAATAAAAACTAAATCTGATGCTCTTAATTACTGTCAACCACATCTTAATCATATAACAAGTTGATGCACCAATTGTATCAATAGGGAAAGTAAATTAATCAACTTGATTATCTCAACCATCTTGATTGTTAACTTGTTAGTGTTAATTGTTTCAATCTTAAGTTAAACTTGATCATTGTTATTTAAGGAACAAACTTCAAGTGATTGTACTGCACGTTAATTGTTAGTGATTAGAATCTGAGAGATGACTGATTCTACTTACCAAATGAAATGACCACACCAAAGTATATGTGGGAAAATATTGATATGATTACAATGATCATTATTTTCACCTTGTTATCAAAATTATAACGGTAATCAGCTGATGGTAATCGATCCAGTTTGGCTGATTCACCGAGCCGAGTTTCAGTTGGAAGATTATTTTGAAGAGATTTATTAACACCGATTGGATTTGAAGGTTCACTTGGGATGAAATAGTAGAATACAAAGAATCCGATTGCCGCTAAAATGAAAACGATCCCGACGACGGTGAAAGGCCATTGGACTAGAACATCGTCTGGTGAGTATTCGAAAGGGACTTTGGTTGAATTGGTTATTAGGGTTTCGTTGAAATATGATGAGTTCGTGGATGAAGGTTCGTCACTTTCCTCGCGTTCAAGGAGAAAAGGTCGTGCCAATAGCGGCGAAATCAAGCCACCCGTTGTGAACATAAAGTGTAAAATTTGTAAAAAGCTTCCACTTGATCGGCCCCAATATCGTAATATGCAAACATTACTTCCTATGGGAAGAAAATTAAATTGTCACAATTAATTTAATTCACTTGAAGAAAAAACAAAACAAAACTTTTCAATCCATTTTCTGTCAGTTAATTTTACTCTTTAGTCAAGGTTTTTAAACATGATAATTAATCTTAATTGCTCTTTGTACATCTCTGGTTAACACGTATGTTAGTTAATTGTTGTTTGATTTGACATAATTTAAATTATCATACCCTTGAAAGCCAACAATCAACATAATTTGATGTTTATCTACAATTAATACAACCATTGTAATGAAGCTTTATCTTGAGTTATTATTAATTGATTGTAATCACAAATATTATCATAATTTTTCACCATGAGAATAAAATTTTTCTGGTTAATTGGGAGCAATTAACTATCTTTTAAATTACCTGTATCAACATGAGACATTGCAAGACCATTGACAAACATTGTTGCAACGATTCCCCATAAAGTCCGATTCCAGGCCGCAAACGCCAATGCGATGCCGTTAATTAGAGATGCAGCTCCCATGACAAGTTGCTCATTAAAAGTTTCCAATAAAAAACCGGCTGATCATGATAAAAACGATAAAAATGGTGAGCAACAAAAACAAAATCCAATTGAACATGATGGTCAATCAATCTTACCCATAACTGACCCTAACGCATATCCAACTGACCTTCCTTGGATAATATGTGAAGTCTCTGAAAGAGTTGAACTAACGGCGATTTGTAGGTCCAGTAAAGTGGGTCCGGTCAGTGAAATACCACAACCAACACCTAGAAAAGCAAAATAAACTAAACAAGTTCTGAGAAATTTAACTTTATTGCTCTTAATTTCTTGAAATAATGAAGCCATGATTAAGAAATTGACAATTAACAACTGATGGAACACGAAAACTGAGCACAAATTTACAGTTACTTGACGAATCACAAGCAAATAAATACTTATGATTCAAATTGTAATAGATTCACACAATATTAAGAAGATTAACTAATTAGTTATGATGGTTCCATTATTTGGATATCACAATTTCCAAGCAATTTAATTTCTTTGGTTCTTGATACTAATGAAAATGAGACGATTTCTTTTGTCGCTCTCTTGATTTTAGACTCTTTCTCTCTGATAAAACTCTAACTATGATGATGGAAAGGATGAGAAAAGATGATATTGTGAAGATGATGAAGAAGATAAAAAAATGATGATAATGAAGATCTTTATAAATAGTAATTGTCTCGAATGAGAAGTAAAATGTTTACTTGATTTTCTCAGTGTGAGCTTTGATTGTTTGATCTGTTTGATTAGTTAAATTGATATAGATTATCAACAACTATTATTGTGTTAATTGTACATTTTCATATTTAACTGGCAGTTAATTATTATAATTCTAGTGTTAATTGAGTCAATTTGTCTAAAATACCAAAGGCAAATTTGTATCTAATCTAATTAACACCGAAACAGAAAAATAGTTATAATTAGTTGACTTCTTTACTTTAGTTAATTACTGGTTAACTAATGCAATTAACAACTTGTCTTGAGTAGATTTTGATTGTTCATCAAATCATAACATCAGATTGTAATTAATTGATCAAGTTTTATGGTTAGATTACAATTAAGATTCAATTCTCTTTAAAAAAAACTTCCTAATTCACAATTAACTTTTAATTGAGAAGACTAATTTCCAAGAAAATTGAAACAAATCTATCATCATTATTATCCAATTTTCTAACAATAGAAAAAAAAACAAAAACTAAATCACAATTAAGATGAACAAAGTATCTTAATTAATCGCTAATCGGTTTAGGGTCAAGTGATTAAGATTTTATCAAATCAAATGTAAATATTGATCCACAATTAACATGAGAAATTTATTAACTAGATGAAGATAAAAATGTATCAAAAGTTGTTAAACCTTGAACATTAATAGAAAATCTACAATTTCTAAATATTAATATGTCAAAAGTTAATTACAATTAGTAAATAGAGAAAAACAATCAATCAAAATGAAAGAAAAAAATTCGAAAGATTTTGAATTTGCCGCTTTTCGATTGAGCGTCTTGGTTACCATGGATTCGACAACTTTTTAGTTTCTTTACCTTTTTCACTTTGTTTTCATTAAGAAAGAAAAATTGTCCGCGTTTATTTACTTAGTGTTTTTTTTGTTCATGTTCCAATTAGAATTAGATTTATTTTCTTTAATTGTGGTGTTAATTTTTATTCTTCTAATTGTATTTAGCTTGTACGTAGGGTACGTGATTATGTATAGTTCATCGAAAGCCTCAGAGATTCAAACCAAAATGAGATTACAGTATTTAGCCAACAAACTGCAAGCTCATAAATCATTTAATAAACAGCAGAAAACTGTTGGTTTAAGGACAAAAGTAGCTGCTTCTTATGGTAATAGGATTCCAATTCCTGGTGGAGGTTCATCAGTTGTCAGCAGAGGAGTAAAAAAACCCGAAGTAACCATTTTATCAACAAGGCCTAAACTAAATGTAACCGCTTCTAACAGGCCAAACAACACAGTAACAAGAACAACAGCCAGAGCAACGACGACAACAACCACATCTAATAACAGATTTAAGACCATAGTTAAAGTAGAAAAAGATGATGATGATGATATTCAGATAATTGATAATCCAACGACTAAGAGAAACACTACAACAGATTATAAATCTAAGGAGAATCCTGATAATAAGGGGAGAAAAAAAATTGACCTTACTTGTATTCGTAGTGATTCATCTTCGGTTAAAAAAACACCAGCAATTGTTGCTAATGTGTCAAATAAAAGTACCAGAGTAACATCTTTAGTCGAGTCAATTATTGCTGCTCAGAAAAATAATACTAATGTTAAACCACCAAGTCAACCGTTTGTAGCTCCGCCGCCGCCCCGTCCAAAGCCAATGCCCGTTTCTCATCTTACCACTAATGGAGAAACATCTAGATCTACACTGAGAAGTGGTACTGATGCTAAAACTATAGATCCACCTGGAACATCATCATCATCATCATCATCATCTTCCTCTTCTTCTTCCTCTTCTTCACTCAATAAATTACCACCACTATCAACAATTAAACGAACTGTTAATCTCATTGATAGCAACAAAACCAACCAGCCAACTAAAAAGGTTAAAATTTACGAAGCCGATAAAGGGATAGCCCAAGTAATTGCCGAGAAGCGAAGTAAATTTGACAATATGACAGTTAGTCCAATGAAACCTTTGGGTCCTCCACCAACAACAAACAGGAAGTTACAAACTGGTCCAACTTCATCGGTACTGCAAAGTCAGATCAGTTGTTTACCCAAAGAGATTCATCTTAAAAGTTTCACGACTGAGCCTGTTTTGTTGAAAATATTAGAATGGAGTGTCCAATGGATAAGGGAAAGTAAATCATTACATGACAAATCACCGCCGGTTGCTGATAAAGCGCTGATAAAGCCACCTCTTTCTTATACGAATTGGCAAAAATACTATGATACCTTTGAGCCTCTGGTTTTACATGAGATTTGGGCTCAGGTCATGCAAGCATATGATGCTGATAAAGTATCGGTTGTGATGATGTTTGCAATTGCCAGTTATGAGTTGATCGATGGTTTTCTTAAGCTAGAATGTCAAACAACAGTGACAGCGCAAGAAGCCCGTGATCAAGCTTATCTAAACGAAGGTGATTTAACGCTTGTTGAATTACAATCAGAATTGATGGAGAAACGAGTTGTTTTTGGTTATGTTTCTGAAATGGTTTTAGAGGATATAACAGATCGAACTCCAATTATACGTACATATAAAGTTCCCGCTGGTCATCGTGTATTTATTCGTTACACGATAAAGATCAAATTTCGTCAAATTAAGTTGGACATTACACAATTGATGAGAGTACGTGGTCTTTATTATTTAAAGCCCATGATGAGAAATATCGAAGCTCTTTTGGCCATTCAAAATTCTAAATTGTGTGAAGATATTTTATGTCCACGAATGGTCACTTGTCAGATAACTGTGCCTTCCATTGATTTTAAAAGTTCAGAATACAATGAGTCCCAGTTAAAGGCCATTCTAGCGGCCGTTGAAGCTGTCCAGCGGCCATACACTATGCCGAAACTTTTAATGGTCCAAGGTCCACCAGGAACGGGTAAAACAACCACCCTAATAGGAATGATTAAAAAACTATTTGAATCTTGGGAAGATGTTAATTCACCACCAAAGATTTTGGTCTGTGCTCCATCAAATGGTGCTATCGATGAGATTGCTAGTCGACTTTATGGTGTACGAAATTCACTTTCTCAGACCCGATTTAAAAGAGGATTACGATTGGTTCGAATTGGAATGACCAACCAGATACATCCCTCTGTTCGTAAAATATCACTCGATGAACTGGTAACCGATAACATGTCCAGAGCAAAATCTGATCTAACCCGTGGTCTCCAAGAGAAGATTGAAAAGCTAGAACGTGATGTGGCCGCTAAAGATAGAATGATCGCCGATTATCGTGTTCAAAATGACAAAGAAAATGTCGATAAATGTTTAAGTGAAATGTTCCAAAACAATCGTGAAATTGAATATCTCCGGAAAGAATTGAAATCAAACGAAATGGCGGTTACCAATGATGCATTGAAGAAAAAATCTCTACGAGCCGATATCCTAAAAAGAGCTGATGTTGTCCTGTCTACTTTGAATAGTTGTCGTCAATCACTTTTGGAGGGTGTTTATCATTTCGATCGTGATCCTTGTCAATTTAACTGTGTCATCATTGATGAGGCATCTCAATGCTGTGAGCCCGAGATACTTATGCCTCTCACTTATACATCAATATCTAAAATGATCCTTATCGGTGATCCAATGCAATTACCTGCCACCGTTATCTCAACAATTGCCTCTGATTATAATTATGATCGTTCTTTGTTTGAAAGATTTTTCCATCATTTTGGTGGTCACTCACCTTCTAGTCCAGTATTGGTACTTGATACACAATATCGAATGCATTCATCCATTTGTAAATTTCCATCGAAACAATTTTACAACAATCGCCTTAAAACACCAACCGAATTGGATAATCGGCAATTTCCAATCAAACCTTACCTTGTTATCGATCTAAAAGGAACATCATTTGATCAATCAAATTGTAAAAATCTTTTCAATGAATTAGAAGCCGATTTTGTGGCCAACATTTATGGTGCAGTAAAAGACCTTTGTCAACGTGATACCACCGTGGGTATTATTACACCTTACCAAGGACAGAAGAAACTTTTAACCAATAAAATAGAGAAAAATTATCCTGATGTCGATGTGAATACCATCGATGGTTTTCAAGGTCAAGAAAGAGATGTAATCATCATTTCATTGGTACGAGATTTTTCAAGGAAAGAAAATGGTATCGGTTTTCTGGGTTCACCTAATCGGTTAAATGTTGCACTTACTCGAGCACGACATTCACTGATTATCTGTATTTCCGATATTGGTGATGTGAATAATAATGTTTGGAAAAGTTTACTCGAAGATGCGATTTTACGTAATGTTTTAATCAAAACCTCGTGTCGAATTAAAAATGGCCTTAAAAAATTGATAACCAAATAAGAAGCTGTATTTATAAATCATCACCTTTATTGTAAATAACAATTTTCTCAAGTCAAACATCAACATCAACATCTCATCTTCATCTCTCTCTCTCTCTCTCTCTCTCTCTCTCTCTCTCTCTCACTCACTTCTCTATCATCATCTTTAGTAGACTCTCTTTATATTATTGTGATAAATGAAACTTTTACTATTAATATTTACGAAAACAAAGATATAAAAACTCACAACAACAACATTGTAACATCAGATTAATTATCTCAACCTAATCACGTGTAGTGTAAACAATTAATTCAGTTTAATTACTGAAAACAGTAGATTTGAGCTGAGAATTGCAACTAATCTGATTTTTTGCCTTCTTTTTCAATATTCATGATGCTCATTGATTTTGTATCTTCTTTTTTGTAACTTAATTCATTCACACTCGCAACTAATTGTTCACACTAATTATTCACTTGAAAAATGTATTTGACTAACCGTCAATGAAGATACAACAGTTTTTTTTGACTGATCATAATTTACCTTTTTTTTTAATAGCAAAAGTATGGACTGTTTAACAAGCTTGATAATTATAATTTTGCCAAATTAATTGATCATCATCGTCTTGATCAATCTCTAAAATTGTTCTCATGGTTGAACAAATTTCACTTATACTTAATCCAGAGGGGATTAAGTTAGATGAGATTACATCGGATATACGATTACCATTGGAATCGACACAGAAACACCTTAGTCCAGCCTCGAAACATTGATTGGCCTTAAAGTTACCGTAAAGGTCACAAAGTAATTTATCATATGGTTTACCCAGAGTTGTAATCTCGTACTCTTGAATGGCGCAGTCACACCTCATGTTACGATCATCGTTTCCATACCTGTCGATACGATAATTACCTGTCCCATCACCGTTGGTGTTTACACATGAACATTCAGTGTCAGTACATTGCCGATAATAATAGTTACCATCAAGGTCACATTGAACTGAACTTAACCCGATAACATCGATACCTTTTCGCTGGAAAAATTGAGTTAAATTGGCTAAAGGTTGAAGCTTTCGTTCACATGGTTTACTATAATCAGCGCCAATTAAATTCTGTGACTCAATGAAATCAACTTAATTGTTGTACCGAACCAATTTCCGAACCATCAACATATTAATCAAGCCAAAGACGAAACAAAAAAGTCCGTTAATTTCATCAGGAATATAAAAAAAAGTTGATCATTAATATTGATTGGAATAAGAATTGATACCATCAAGAGTAAACATCCATTCAGGAGGTAATTAAAAGATAATTGTTGAGATGATTATGAGATAAATTAACGACTATGCTGGAAGATGTTAAATACTATAACCAATCAGATCAACCAATGTAAACAAATTTAATCGTTAACTAAATTGTCTTCACTTTAATGACGATGGTTATATAATAATATGTATCAACGGGATGTTAAATCATTGCCACTAATCAACCATCAATATCTTCCTATTGATCAATAGTTATCCAATTATTGTACTTACAGCAAACTTTAAGATCGGCTTTTCTCATCCGCCATTTTTGTCCACTATCATGGTCAATACAATAACAAAGGTCTCGAAGTCGCTTATTACCATCGTCATCGGTATATTCAACCTTCTCGTCGCAATTAACTTCTACCTGTCGTTGGTAAGTATCATAATCTGTAAACGTGTTAATATTTAACATGAAAAATGACAACGAAAACAACAATTAAACAGTTGATCATTGATTGGAAATTAATTGAATAGCTCGATAACTAATGATAATTTATTAATTCGTTATTATCTTTTTCTTGTTTAGATTTTAACTTGAAGATGATTAACTTTGTTCAATTTTAATCAACTATTACATATATGGTTAAGATGATGCTGAGAATTGTGTTTTGTTTCATCAATTACAATTCGAGTTGATTGATTAAATTGTTACCAATAATACTTACAACAATCAAGAATTGAAATTGCATCTTTAAGAACCATCGGTGACTTTGGTTTACCTGTTAATGGATCTGAACAATAGCAAAGTTGATGATAACATTGGAGAGAGGCAAAGTTACCGTTATCTGAACAATGTTGATGAATATTTGATTGATAATCAAGCTGATTAATTGATGACATTTTCGTTAATTGAGTTAACGATACGGAACACGAACAGGTCATATTGGACTGATAAGTGGACTGAGATTTGCCGAAAATTTTTTCACCAGAATCAGGATTGACACAATTACAACTAATCACAACCAAAGGAAAAGTTGATTGATTAATTAAAATGTTTAATAATTAGATAATGGTGATAATTATAATCTTCACATGCGATTTGGAGGTTACACTAATTGTAAATCAATTTAATGTAAGTTGATGTAAACTACATTAGTGATTAAACATAATTGATTATAATCCTATCGGTATATCAGCAACAATTAAATCAATAAAGAAAAACAAATTAAGAGTAATCAATCAAACTATTGGTTATAAGTATCTAATTACTGGCAATTTATTCATTCATCTTTCATCTTGATTATTGTATTGAATTGTTTTTCCTCTTAATTACCTAATCATTTTAACACAATTACCCAAAACATTTAACAATTAAGACATAACAATTTAAATGATTCGGTTAATATTAACATCTTGAAATGGTTTTTGGTTCAATCTCATCAACAATTAACTAGTCAGGAACCGGATTTAAAACCATAATTACATAATTACTCAGGGTGAATTTGATAATTTAAACTAATCAGTATTTAATTGTTACTCTGATATAATCATCATCATCAGGACTAATTGTAAATCTAATTTGATTTTTCAAATAAAAATCAATGTTGTCTTTCACATGTTAACCATTAAATATTAATTGTTCAACATCAATATTTAATATACACTTAATTGTGATCAAATAGACATTGATTTACTTATAATCGTCGGCAATTAATCAATATTATTACAAACAATTAAAAGTAATCATATTAAGTTTCTAGGGTTCCATCCGCTGACAATAATTATAAATTACTTTGTACCTGATTAGATGAGGTTATCAATATAATCACAATATATAAATTGTTGATTATCAAAGTTATAAATTGTTTGAGGTGAAATTAGATTGACTTCATTTGATTTAAGGTTATCAACTAATTAACTTTAACCAACAACAAGCAAACCCAATATATCAATACATTGAAAAAAATCAATACGATAATAACAATAACATGGAGACAAAATCAACCTCTCAATCTAAATTAACTAAATTAGTTAAATGTTTTAAATTGTTACGATTAGATGTGTTCATATGTTTATATTTATTTGCAAACAGAATCCCAAATGTTTGTCGTAATCAATTGATCCAAGATAAATACTGTATCAATGAAATTAAATTAGATCCATCAAAGTGTCTACAACTTGAACAATTAGGACCCGAATTTGATACAATTAAAAATAAAGTTTACGTTTTCCAAACAAACTTTAATAATTATGATACAATGATCACAACACCAATTGGGATAATCATTACATTACTGATCGGCTGTTGGATTGATAAATATCCTGGTCATTTGAAGTATCTACTTGCTGGCCCGGCATTAGGTGGTTTCCTATGCGAAATGATTGATATATTGAATGTTTATTATTTCCAAGCAAGTGAGTAAACTTTTTAATTGTCGAGTTAATTGTGACCAACAGAATATCATTCGTTTGAATCTCTTCTCTTTTCTGAATCAAGACATTTACCATATACTTTGGAAATCTGTTACTTTTTTCAGTGGCGGTATGAACACAGTTCTAACGGGATCATATGCTTATGTAAGTCGACGAACTCATCCCAAGCATCGAGTTGCTCGATTCGCTGTTCTGGAAATGTTTCTCTCACTAGGTAAACTATAATATACGATTTTCTGTTTCTTTTTTTTCTCTAATTATTTCTATTATTTACCTCGAATTCAGCTTCATTAACATCGACTGCTCTTGGTGGTAAACTACTCACAGTCGATTCAATATTTGGAACTGAACAGTATCGAAACTATTACCTCGTCTTTTTGACCTCACTTGTGTTTAATGTAGCCGCTTTTACTTGGGTTCTCATCTTCTTATACGATGCTGACCTTGGATATGACGAAGAAAAAGTTGACAGTAAAAGTATAGCGATAGTTGAAGATTCGATAAAATCGTCCGACCCAAATGTTAAAGATCATAAAACTAAACACTTTCTATTGGTATTGACTGAGGTTTTCCGTATATCGACAATAACGAGCATGATAAAGGCCGTTTTTCGCCAAAGACCTCACAAACGTCGGACAGTTTTACTTCATTTAACTTTCGGCATGACAGTGGCCTTTATGGGCTATTTAAGTGAATCCATAATTGGCCTTCAATTTGCGCAGAAAGTTTACCATTGGAGTTCACCTTATTACTCTTATAATTACGCTCTTTTGACCATAATTCCAGCACTGGCCAATACAATAATACCCGTTTTATTGGCTCGAAAAAATCTCGTCTTCGATTCTACTCTTTGTATCATGGGCTCAGTCTCTATGATTCTCTCTCTGTCATTTCGAGGCGGTATTCTTGAACCTTACGCTTACTACGTTTCCAGTGTACTCGGTGTGTTTTCCGGCCTACTTCTTATTGTTAAAAGGTCAATCGTATCTCGAATTATCGAGAAAAATGAGTCTGGACAAATTTTCTCATTACTGGCATGTATTGAAGGTTTGGTTCCCTTATTCATCACTCTACTTTACTCATTCCTATTTCAACTGACCATTCAAACTGCCCCAGGAACTGCTCACCTTGTCGTCGCTGGGCTAATGTTTTATCCTTATATTTTATCCCTATGGCTTGGACTCAACACCTACAAATGGGATCCTGCAGCAATTAAATTCCGAGAGGAGAAAATCGCTCAGAAAATCAGTTCACCTGAATTGTAACTAATCTAATTGTATATCTAATTATCGGTGTAAAGTATTAAATTGTCAACATGAAATTTCATTTTCGATTGAAAACTGAAAAAGAGAAAAAAAACTTTCTCTTCTTATTTTTCATTCTAAACTTAATCTCATGGTGATTATCATGGAGTCTGAGTTCAGTACTTTGAAAAACTGAACAAGTTACGATGTTGCTAAGGTATTCAATTAATCAGAAAACGGATATGATTGACCCTCGAACTATTTACTTCTCATCTTCCTCTTCATAATTTATCATCATCATCATTTTCATCGTTACCCCCCTTAGAGATTTCAATATGAGTCAAACAATTGAACAATTGATCAACATTGAGATTGATTGATATTAATTATTTTCTATTAGTTGAATACAATCAATTGAAATTCAAATTCAAATTACTTTGCTAATCTAAATATCATTATATTGATTAGTAAAAAGATTCCAATCATTGATTAACACCGTTAACTTGATGATTATCAATGATCAATGTAATTACTTGATTATCTTGTTTACCTTTTGTCTAAATTCAGTAATTAATCAGTTAAATCTTGGCCGAAACAATCATTTTCTTAATCTATTGATCAAAATTCAACTGATTATAAAAATAATCTTAACCTTGAAAAATAATATTAAAAAAAGTAATTAGTTAATTGTAATCTATTAATCTAACCGATTGATTGTTAATCAACTTTAATCATAACTGATAAATAATATTAATCTTTGATATTTTGTTTTTTTTTCATATTCAGGGTTAAATTGTTTACAACAATTTAACTAATCCACTCAAAAATTGATTAAAACTTAAAGTGATTAATTGATAACAATACTTATTAATACAATTAACTTTGGTAACAATTAAGGTAATTCGTTGAGGATTATACAAATAAATTGTTATCAAAAATTTCAATTTCTCTCCCTTGATGTAAATCAATAGGTTTTCAGTTCAATCATGATTAGTTAATTGTTCTGATTGTATAATCAAACTCGGTTAATCCAATATCTCTAATCTTAATCTCGTCTCTGTCGCAAGTACATCAGAGTTAATTTCATTTTCATTTCTTAATTTTTCCCTTTAATTTCAATTGTTGATCTTAACCACATTCATCAACTTCAATTAGTAATTAACATCTATTAATATGTTCAAAGTTCTCATCACTTATTGATGAGTGGATTAATTAATAAATCTTCAAATTAATATTTTTTTCTCTTCAGCTTTAATGTACACACGAATTCACCATAAAGAGACTAACAGATTAACAGCAAATTTACCAATGAGATCTTAATGTTCAAAGGAAAAGGATCAATTTAATGATTACCAATGTAACAATCAGTTAACCATGATCATTTTGATCCAAGTCACAATTAAATTGATCAACTGGTAATTAAATTTTCATTGTAAGTTTACGACTTTCATTTTCTCGTCTCATTGAGTCTCAACTCTAATTATCTCGTTGAAAGTGACAATCAGTGATAGAATATCAGAATATGAAGATTTCAAGACTAACTGATTAACTAATCTAATCTAATAAAATCCGATTAGTTTCTCATATATATCATGTGTGAATATCTGTTGATATTTTGATCCTTAATTAACCTTTAATCTTGGTTAATTGTTGAGGTAAACTTGTTAATTACTCTCAACCTGACAATAGGTTTGATAACTTTACCAATTAACTGGAATTTTAATTTGTTGTTGTTGTTGTAATTTGGATTCATATCTATCAATTGATTGATTGCAATTGAATTTTGATCATTGTAGTAAGAAAACAAATAAACACAATCAATTATTTCATTGAATTACTTCAAGTAATTATAATTATTATGTGATTGTTTGTAAATCTGTTTACGTCATTGAATTCATGCTAAGTACATATGATTTAATTCAATTTTGCACTCAATTGGTTCACATTCAATAATCGTAACTGTGAATATTGATAATTAACCAGTTCTCTTGGATATTAATGATGAAATCTAATCAATGGTCACTTACTTTGCTGATTTACATTGTTTAGCTTTGTATTGTCCAGTTACCTGATTACAGTCGGGCTCATGTTGACTTGTATCTAATTGGAATCCAGTTGAAACCAAGTTACCTTTATTATTCAAAGAGAGAATCGAACAGAAAAAAAATCATGATGAAATCTACATGATGATTATGATGACAAACTGAATTATCAATGAAATATCATATAACCTCCACGATTGGAACAGAATTTTTTTCCATTCAAAGATTTCAATCTCTCCTGTTTTCTAATACACTTTGAAGTGGCCTCTCCTCTAACACAATGGCCTAATTCCTGGTCACAGGTTAATCCATGTTTACACCGAGTTTCATATGTACCACAAGTTTCATTGACACCTATGGAAATGGACATTGGTCAACAACTTTTGATAACTATAATCATGACAATTCACCTGAGATGTAAACACAACCAGGACAACAACCACCAATCCTGATTCCTTGGACAATCTCTTGCTGAGGTTCCAAGCAAATTTCAATCACCGGGCATGAAACGAAATCACAATTGATTGAAAAATGAGAGTTTAAATGATCAACTGAATCTTCACCTTGATACAACTTAATTAAATCACTTGTAACAATTAAAAAACCAATGGTAACCAATGAGTTTATAAGTAACATCATCTTTTTGTTTTCCTTTCACAAATCTAAATGTAAATGCATTTGAAAGTCTATAATTGAGCTAATTGTTGATTAATTATGAACACAATTTATTTATCTGATCAAGTCTTTATTAGCCCCAATTAGTTTAATCATCAGGTAATTTGGGTTAACCAGGAAAAATTTGGGTTCTCTCTCTCTGGTTAAATTAACTCAATTATCTTTACCTGTAATCTTTGCAGATTAACAATGAAACTTGTTACCAACTGATTGTTTAATTGCTATTAACTTTGTCGATTGCAATGGAAAATTAAATTGCACTAAAGTTGATTGATTGTTGAATTTACATTTCTGTTATTACAATGTAATTTAAACAACAATCTGATTCATCAATCAGTCAATTGTTTACTGTCTTTACCTTTACATTGTCTGAGTGTTTAAACAATTAGTTGATTGCAAATCAAATACATGTACAATCAGACAGCAACAATCTGATGAATGAGAAAAAAGTAAAAAAAAAGTCGTTAGTTAATTGAGTTAATTGTTTACGATGACGAAACTTAATTATCAACTCTCATTCTCACTTACTGATCTAATATTATAATTATTACATAATTGTTAGTGATTAACTAATCGTTAACCGCTCATATAAGCTATGAAATAATACCTTTGACCCCAACAATCAAAGGAAAGTTGATTAATCAATTTTTTTGATTACTATTAGATGGAGATGATTATCTTTATCAACTGATTGAAAACGTCTCCTGATTGTTGTTGACACTTTGATTGTAATCCTATGTGGTTTTTTCAAAAAGGTTCAATGGTGAAATGAAATCAAAGTCACGTAAACCAATCAATCAAAATTAATCAACAATTAACATCAAAATTGATTAAGATTCCATAATAATAAGGTTAACTGATATCAGGTAATTTAAAATGTGAGAAATTAACAAGAAAACAAAGTTCGTAGATGAACAATTTAGCTAATTAATCTCGATGAAAAGTTGTTATCATCAAACGAAATCGTGATCTATGTTTTAACGTGTTTTCCAATTAACTTAATACTCTTAATTGTTATCGATCATTAGTGATAATCAATTGATATCATTCATCATTAAATGATGAAAATTAAAATAATAACGAAACGAAAACAATTGATTAAGAGATTAACAAATTCAGAGAGAGAGAGAAAAGTTTTCTTTTTACAAATTCGATAAATGAAAATATAACTTTCCCTGTGAAAAGTTCAGTGGGAAATCCTGAAAATTCATTGATGATGATGACTCTCTCTCTCTCTCTCTCTCACTCACTTACTATTGATTCTCGTTGATTGAATCAATTTGTAAGATGATACTAAATGAATGTAAGTATGAATACTTTAAAAGTCACCAATTGATTTACTGGAAAAGTTTTGCTTTCATCTTCTAATCCTGAAATTTGGTGATTATCATGGAACAGGTAACATAACAATGAGAGAAAACTTTGTTTTTGATTAATCTAAATGATGATATTAATTATTGTAAATGACAACATGATAATCAGCTGTTGAGCTCATCATCATAAGTGGGTTGTTTATTCAAAGGTATTTAAAGAGTCAAGTAAAAAAGAGACAAGGATGAACAAGTTAATTAAAGATAATTAAAAGTTAGAAACGGTTGTCAACTAAATGAGATATATTATAATTTACCTGAGGATATCATCATGCTACCTGTTGGAAGATGATAAATATAACAAACCAATAGAACCAATTTCCTTATTTATTACACAATTTTCACATATATTTACCAGTTATGTCATCGTCATGTTCAGTAAACCAGAATTATTCATCATGATAATTTACATGGAGAAAAAAATTTCTTTATAAAAATTTCTCTCTCTCTCTTTCTTTGGTTTATTAAACCATTAACTCTGGTTAAATTATTGATCATTATTGATGATTTATTGTCACAATTGTCTTCAGGGGCTCTGGCGATTCATGGACTACATTCAATGGGAACTGAAACATTTCAATCAACTGAATAATATGATAAACAAAATGTATTAACCATGATAATTACACGTGTTTTCTGGGTTATGCAATTTACATATTATCATTACCGTTTGTGTGTATTGAAGGTCAATCATGATTAAAAACTGATAATCAATTAATTTACATCTTTCTCTCTCTTATCAACAATCAAGTTTATTGTTTTCTATTGGGTATTAGTTGATTTTAAATAAACAATTGACTTGTTGAGTTGGTAACAATTTGTTAACTTTCATGATTGTTTGATTATATTGTTTTTCTTAATTGTTACTGGTTTGTTGATTGTTGTGTTGACTGTTAATTGTTTGTAAAGGTTGAGATTGAAAGTTGCAAGTTTATGATTAAAATTAACATCAAATTAACAGCAAGAAAAATGAAAACCAGGAAATGATTGAATAAAATAACTATTTAAACAAAAGCAGCAGAAAATAAGTTGACCATCAACATCGTGCTGATGATGATTGATTATTTGATTGAAAAGGTAAACCAAACTGAACTGAGTTCCGGTCAGAATCCCGTTAGCAAATTCAAAGGTTATCCTAGGTTATTGTTATTCAAGTCAAATATTTTCCTTTCCAGGTAAAGTAACTGTAAATAACCTGTTGCCTCCCATAGGAAATGAACAAAAGTAATAGATGAAGTTTAATTTTTTAGAAACAAACACAATCAACAAAATAAAACTCCCGTTACCTTGATTGTTGCCCAAAGGTAAATGATTAACTTTTATTTTTACTTCTTCTAATCATCATCACGCCTTAGATGATGCTAATCATCATCATCATCATTCATGAATTGAATATATTATCATGTATCATGAAAAAAAGTACCGTTGTCTGAAGGGCTTGTCTTGCTGAAAACGGAAACTAATACAATCAGTTTCAGGTTAAGTTGAACCTTATACTTGAGGTTGGTTACCTTTGTAATAATAAAGTATAATAGTAATATAAGTTATAACGGATTGGTCTTGAAAAGGATGAAGATAAAGATGAAGATGAAGATGAAGATGAGCATGAGGATAAGCATGATGATGAAATAGGAAGAGCTAAGTGAGTAAACTTTGAATGGTGGTTAGAAGTGGTAATCACTGGGGAAGCTGAACAAGTCAGGTGTCCGATCGATGAACTTGATCTAATGGTGGATTTGGGACTAATTTCTTGTACCAATTTAATCTGATTAATTGAACGATCGATAATCTGATTGATTAGCTACTTTTTTCGGTGATAAAAATATAAGTATTAATATTGATGAATTTTGTACATGCAAAGGAATCAAAGTACAACCAATCCTTAGGTTTTGATCATTTGGTAAATTCATGTTGTCTAGATGGTGATTATAAATAGCTAAAGATAGAGAGAGATATCATCTTGTTCATCATCATTATCGTCATAATCATCGACTCATCAATGATATGATTCATTATCATGGTGACAATATAAAAAGTTTTTCTAAGAACTGAAACTCGGAATTTTATTAATATTTGTCTATTTCCTTTTCCATAAACTTGTAGCTTTGATTGTTAACTTAATTGTAGTTGAAATTTGGTTTGGATTATGTAACTATCAAGGTGGACAGTTGATGGACATTGAATCTAATTATTTGTTGACCTGGAAGATTGGGAAAAACTAAGCCGATAGAGTTACAATTGTTATCGATTGATCATCAGTCATTAATATAAATTAATGAATCAACAACAAGGATCTTTAATTTAATTCATCGAGTTGATTAATATTATTGCTTTTTATGCTTTTTTTCATCATCTTCATGACGTTCGCGTTGGTTTTTATCAACTAATTATATTTTTATTTATTTATTTTTTGTACGAACTTATCCTTCATCAATCAATAAAAAAGTAGTACTAGAAGAAGAAGAAAAATAAAAGTTCAGACTGATTCTGATTAATTTAGATAGATTGATGAATTGAAGCTTCCATGAATGAGAAATACTCGAATTAGACTTGAAGGGCAAATGTTGATGGTGAGAAAAGGTGTGGTGTTCAAGGGGAAGTTCAGTTACGAATTTTTCTAAATTTGAACAACAACAAAAAAAGTTTTCTTCTAATTTCATAGTGATATTAATAAATTGCTATGCTAATTGTTGGCTTTCTGTTGTATTTTTGTTACTATTTATTGTTTTGATCGGGAAAATTGTTCGGGGAAAAATGTTGCTGTTTTTTCACCAAAAAAGTGTAACGTTGAAATAGGAGGTTAGATGATCAATGTGTTTACATGAGTTTCTATCATGAACATGCCAAAGAAAAGAGTAAAATGAATGCTCCCTCTGCAGAACGCTAACTGTTGATTGAAGACAAATAAGTAGAAGAGAGAGAGAGAGAGAGAGAGAGAGAGAGAGAGAGAGAATAGAAAGAGATACAAAGGTGAGTAAAAATGAAATGGTAAGAGTGAAAGTGAAAAAGAAAGAGGATAAAAACGATGATCAAAGGTGGAAAATATTAGAAAGAAGAACTTGTAAGAAAGAGAGAGAGAGAGAGTAAGAGAGTCTCTTCACTAATCTCTTTCTCTTTCTCTTTCTTCTCTCTCATCTTCATCCATGAAAGTGGGAGTTCTGATAGATAGTAGCGCCCTTCCTGGTATATAAATGCTACAACTTGTGTTCATTCATCATGAATATAAAAAAACTTTTACAATTCACTTTACTTGCTGACGATCACAATTTGAATTGTTATTAGTTATTAGTTTCTTTTTTTGTTCTAATAATTTCAAATTCGATATTTTCTCTGTCTATCTCTTTCTTTGTATCTGTACGATCCAATCTACGAATCAATCTTTCACTCTCTTTCTATCTCTTCGAAAATAGAATCAATTGTTCAACGAAAGAACGAGCTAAAAAACTCGAACAAGAAGAATATTATTTTTTAGAAAAAAAAGTTCTATTCTCTTGAAAATAATCAACTAATTGAGAACAGTTTTTGCATAAAATCATTATTTCAGCTGAATAATTAATCATCTTCATCATGATCTCTCATGAACAAAGTTTATTTTATATTTTAACATCAAGTTATTATAACTTGAACCACCATCAACCTA